GGGGAGACAGACAGAGAGGGAAGAATGAGACACTGGGAGAAAGAGGGGGAATAGAGAGATAGGGAGGGGGAGAAAGAGACACAGGGGGAGAAAGAGATGGGGAGGGGGAGAAAGAGACAGAGAGGAAGAGAGATGTGGGGGAGAGAGAGAGAGAGACAGGGAAAGGGGGGAGAAAAACAGTGGAAGAGAAGGAGAAAGAGGCAGAGGGGTAAGAGAGACTGGGAAGGAGAGGGGAGAAAGAAACATACAGAGGGACGGGGGGAGACAAAAAGGCACACAGAAGGGCTGTATATATCACTGGTGGATCCAGGGGGGCAACAGGGCAATTGCCCCCCCTCCCCTGTCCGCAGGCACTGTGCGGGCAGGGGAGGAAGGAAGAGAGGATCTGGGAGCTCACCCTGGAGCTCCTCTGGGTCCTTCTTGCACGAGCACAGAGCGTTGCCGCGATTACCATGGCAACGTTACTGCTCTTGCGAGAGTCAACTCTGGCCCTGGAGCTACGGTCTAGTGTTCACTCTCAACACTGTGACCCCCAGGGATTCCTGGTGGTCGCAGTGGTGAGAGTGAACTCTAGCCCCATAAACACACTGCCCCCCCACACACACCATACACATTCACACACTGCCCCCATACACACCATACACATTTACACACATTTCCTCACACACACACATACACTGCCCACCCATATACACACAGACCCCCATACACAGCCCCCCATACTAACATTGCCACACACATACACAGCCCACACACCCTACACATTCACACACTACACCCCCCACACACACTGAACCTTTCACACACATTGCACCACTGCTCCTATTCCCTACTACAGCCCCCATATCCCAGCAGATCCCAGGTAAGTTGTCAAACTGTTCTTAAATGGTTTGACTACTTACTCTGGAGCAGTAGTGGTTATTGCGCATGGATTATTTATTTAAATAATCTACAAGTGCCCCAGTAGCCAGCCAGCCAACCCACAGGCTGGCCGGTAGCCAGCCAGTTAGCCAGCCCACAGGCCAGTAGCCAGCCCACAGGCCTACAGCAAGCCACAGGCTTACAGCCAGCAAGCCCACAGCCTGCCAGTCGCAGCCAGCAAGCCACAGCCTGCCAGCCGCAGTCAGCAAGCCACAGCCTGCCAGCCGCAGTCAGCAAGCCCACAGCCTGCCGGCAGTAGCCAGAAAGCCCACAGCCTGCCAGCCGCAGCCAGCAAGCCCACAGACTGCCAGCCAGCAACAGTAATTAAGGTAAGAGGAACCAACTTGGCCTAGGTATCAGCGAGCTATGTTGTGTTGCTATATTGTGAATAGGAACCAGAGTGTTGGAGAGACCATCCTCCAGGCCCCATTAGACTCCATTGTAGTCTCTAATGGGGCCTGGAGGAGATTCTTTCTAACACACTCTCTAAAGGACACTGAGATAGCCTCTGCTAGAAATCCCCTCCATGGCCCATTAGCCCTCAATTGTAGTCTCTACTGGGGCCTCGAAGGGCTTATTGCCCTTTTGTTCCTTGTGTCTAAAGATTTTGTAGGGTGTGGCTGGAGGCGGTGCATGGAGGCGGGACAAGGGTGGCGCTTGCTGCAGAGTATGGGTGGGGCCTGTAAGGGGGCCCTTGATTTATTTTTCCCGGGGGCCCTGAGGGTTCTCAGTCCGCCCCTGATAGCATCCCTCTTGACCTCCCCAACATGTCCGGTACACCTATCCATTTTCTATGCAGAGTTTCGATCCATCCGGTTCAGTTCTTTCAGGAACGTCACATCCTGCGGTTTCGGCTTACTGAGTCCCGATACGTCACTTCCTGTGACGTATGTGTTATGATTTCATTTCGATCACATGACTTTCGGGACTCGTTTGCGGCACGAAGAACATCCATTACAGATAGGGCAAAATGCCTTCAGTTCATAGCATTTATATATCCAAGTTATAAGGAAAGGAGACAGCAGAGATAAACAATATTATTAGACATCTTCTATCGTAAAAAATTTTTATATTTCATCTATGTAAAATAAAATAAATTTCATTTTGAAAAATACTGCTCAATCAATATATATATATATATATATATATATATAAATATATATATATATATATATATATATATATATTTAAAGGGGAAAGCATAGAGGGAAGAGAGTAGAGAGGGGTAGATCCATATTCATATTATATCATAAAGTTTGAATAGGTTTCTTAACGTAATAAACATATCTAAAATATTAAACAATAAAAGATATATAGTTAAAAACTGAATTATAAATAATAATAAGGGATAAGAACCTTTATAAAATACTATTAATTTCAAAATCAATATTGAGACCCAAGGGTCATAGAGTGCGCATCTTAAAGATCCACTTTACTTCTTGAGTGCTCAATCTTTTTGGAAGATCTCCTCCTCTCCAATGAGGCTCAATTTTTTTCTATAGCGCAGAAATTTTAAAATTTTGGATCTGACTCGTGTTTGTCCAAAAAATGTTTTGATACGCTGTGATTTATAAAACCCTTTTTAATATTTCTGACATGTTCGCTTATTCGAACTTTCAAAGGTCTTGATGTATTACCTATATACTGGAGGCCACATGTACAATTCAATAAATATATAACATTCTTTGAGTGACATGTGATCATAGATCTGATTTTAAATTCTTTTTTAGTATTAAGAGTTAAAATTAGTTATATTTATTTCTTTTATATTTGTTTGCTTACATCCATTACACATCCCACAATGGTAAAAACCTTGTTATTTCTTTGACCAATTTGTTAGGAAATTACTATTGTCTTGGGATGTTTTTTCTAAAAAACTACTAGTTAAAATTTGTTTAAAATTTTTTGCACCTCTAAAAATAAATTTGGGCTTAGGGCCTAGAAATTCCTGTATTTCTTCGTCCTGAGTTAAAATATCCCAAGTTGGGGGGCGGAGCCAGCTCTCGGCATGAACGGTCGCACTTCTCCTGCTCTCTGCCGACCGCAGCCCAAAACCGGACGAAAAAGACCCCAAAAGCCTTCCCTTCTGGTAACAGAGGGCCCGCAACTACTCCCCCTGATATGGGGAGAAAGACCAAAAAGCCGCGGCCCGATCGCCCGCGATTTACGGCCGATATCGGCGATTTACTGAGGAGGCCGCATGGCGCGGCGGCGCCCAACATGGCGGCCGAATATGAGGATTTCTCAGAAAGCTCGGACGACACATCCCTCCACTGCCCTGAGACACTGGGGTACAAGGGACCTCCTAAACTCAAACAACAGCCGATGAGCTCCCCAATCACTACGGAGATTCTTACCTCTCTCCTGACTGACCTACGCCAGTCGCTCTCTGCAGAGATCTCCCTGGTAAGGGAGGATGTAAAGGGGTTCACTGATCGCCTCTCAGCAGTGGAGCAATCCACCCAGGCACAAACAGCACAAATAACAGAGCTGCAGAATCAGGTCAAAGACCTCTCCTCAGCCCACATCACACTCACCCACCAACTAGCAGCAATGGAAGACAAAAGGAGGTGGAAGCATGTTAAAATCAGAGGCCTCTCAGACGCAATTGCCCCAGCCGAACTTCCCCACCTACTCAGAAGGCTTTTCACAGCCCTCCTGTCCCCCAAACAAGCTAAAGGGGTGCAGCTAGATGGCATGTTCCGCTTGCCCAAACCGACACAACTTGCAAATTCAGCGACAAGTGACCTTCTGGTCAAATTTCAAAATGGGCAAGACAAAACTGCCTTAATGGGCTCCATCAGGGGACAAAATCCATACCGCTTTGAGGACATGGACTTAACGTTCTATTCCGACCTCTCACGCACAACACTGCAATGGCGGAAATCTCTCCGACCACTTACAGCGGCATTGACGGCTAAGGGAGTGAAGTATCGCTGGGGACCATCACACATACTCCTCATCCAACACCAAGGCAAGGAATATAAAGCGACGGACGTCGCAGAAATGGACACTGTCTTGACCGACATGGGACTACGGCCATCTTCAACCGCTACAACCTGGGATCCGACTAAAGTTGTCCCATTTGTTCCAGCATCCAGGGGAACGCTTGGAGAGCAGACTACCTGAACCGGGACTTTTGAGTTACTCTTGTTTTGCTTTTTGTTTTGTTTTAATGTTCTCCCTCTTATACACACCGCTGTAAACGTACAAGTTTACTCCTAGGGCATAGGCCCTATTGAGGGGTAACCCAGAAACCCCTACACACACATAGCAGGATTGCTATACGGCTTTTATTTGCCGCCGAACCGGGCAGAACCCGGACTAATTGGCTCCCTTTAATACCAAAACCCCCCCAGCTCCAACGCATTTACTCTACCACGAGATCACTAATTAGGAGCTGCACAAATACACTACCAGGTTGCACGTCAGTATCCTCTTTTATCCTCTCACTCACACGACAATCTAGGCCGTGCACAGCCCTCTCTGTCCACAAGGCCTTACGACCTTACACACGGCCTATAGCTGGAATTTCTAACTGATCCACAATACGGGCGTATTAATATACTCCCTCAGAACACAGGGTCCCATTTCACTTTTGACTCAAGAGGCACATAAGCATGCACCTTGCCTTCCACTGTAGGCATACTCCAGTCCATAAGCATATACGCCGATACTAACCATACGACCAGGATTGAAATTGCTCTTTTTCTATCCTATTTTCAGTGGCTGCATTATGTTGAATCTTTTATATAACCTTTTTAAAAAATTGTGCCGATACTCACATGCCATGCTATTGTTATACTATTCTATTGATTGCAGCTTGCTATAGCTGTCGTGGCTATGCAAGCGTATTGTTTATGTATGCACTACCAAAATAAAGAATTTAAAAAAAAAAAAAAAAATATCCCAAGTTTTATTTATAATCTTTTTAATAGCACCTATATTAGAATAATTAAAAATGAGAGGAATTTGTTTTTCATTGCCTGTCAGCAAGTTATCTTTCTTTTTATATTTTAACAGAGGAGATCTTTTCAAAGAGGACACCTCCTGAATTTGTGTATCTAAATCTTTCTTTTGGTATCCTTTTTGTATAAATTGTTTCTTTAAAAATTCAGCCTGATCAAAAAAAATCTTGTTTTTTTTTGTACAATTCCGGCGTAACCTTAAAAATTGTCCCCTAGGAATATTAGTCAACCAGGGTTTGTGATGGCAACTGCTAACTTCAATATAACTATTAACATCAACTTGTTTAAAAAAAGTGTGAGTGGTTAAAACATTATTACAAACATGAATATTCAAATCTAAAAAGTCAATGTTTGTATCACACACACTTAAACAAATTCCCCAAATCATTACAATTAAGAGAATTAAAAAAATTATTAAAAAGATCTTATCCCCTAAATGGGCAGAAAAAACAGAATAATAAAATAAGGATAAAACACTAGATATAAGTGACTCCCACCCTCTCCAAAAAAATAAAATGATAAATAAGTATACACAATAAAATAAAACTAGGGTTGGGGGTGGGAAGGGGAAAGGGGATTCGGGAAGGGGTCTTTAGGTAAATTAATAAGATAACACAAAATATTTATGATGACCAGAGTACCAAGGCCTGAAATATAGAAGCATTAGCAAAACTATACAAGGTAGGTACACATCTGAAATAAATAAATAAAAATACATACACATATTGACTGATAGACACACACTCACTGATAGTCACACATACACTCACTGACAGACATTCACAGAGTGACTGACAGACACACACTCACACTGACATACATACACACACACACACATTCATTAACTGACAGACACACGCTCATACACATTTCCCCCAACACTCATAAATTACTATTATTTTTTATTTTTTTTATTTAACTCCACCCAGCCTCAGTAGGATAACTGGAGTGGATTTGTTACCTAGGGTCCAGTGGGGCTGCAGGGGCGGGGGAGCTCTGATCTAACTGCTCAGCTCCCTCGTGCACCGCTTAATAATGCTAGGAGCCGGTCTGACGTCATATTCCGGCTCCCGGCATCACTAAGTGGCGCGTAAGGGAGCTTAGCTGTAAGAGCTCAGGCTACAGCACTCCCACACAGAACACGCAATAGAAGCTGCCGCAGGCATTGTAGGGGGCCCAAAGGTGGCCAGCAGGCCAGCTCTTGGGTCCCCCAGGACATGAGGCTAACAAGACACCCTACCGGTGACCTATGGCCGCATGTCCACAGAGAGGGCTCGGCATGCCAGCTGTGGCACGCGTGCCATAGGTTCGCCATCACTGGTGGGGCATAGTTAGTATAAAATAAACTGCGAAGTGAGATATTAAACGTACTTTCACTACATTGAGGGTACCATTCTCTGTACCTGGTCTGCTTTTAATGTGGTTGGCCACTTTGATTGGTAGATCGCTTGGAATGCATTGTCAGACGGACATGGCTATTCTTCAGTGAGCCCACACCATTTCTGGATGGGTCCACCCATATGGGTAGCACCTATAATGTAGGTCACATCACTGGTCAATTAACCTACATCCCACTTTACTGTACGCCAATGTTTGTGGTATGCAAAAATAACACAATAAGGGTGTGTCGGCGAGCAGCGTCTCTTCTTCGCTGCTCGCCGCTCGTGTCCTCCACGCCTCCCAGCGGCAGCATGTATAACGCTGCACGCTGGGAGGTCGCAAATTTATGCAAACTCACGTGACCCGGCATTAATGCAACAGTACCACAATCACAGTGGGAGGCGTAGATATCTCCCACGTGTGATTGTTAATTCTGATTGGAAGTTATCCAATCAGAATTAAGCAAAGGGTATTTATACTTACCTTTCCTGTCTCTCAGTGCCCTGTTGTGGTCTTGTGATACCTGTAGTGCAGTTTGCTCGTGTTTCTCTCTGGTTAACGATTATTTGGCTCGTTATTCCGATTATCCTGTCTTCTCCACTCCTTTGACCTCGGCTTGTTTCTCGTTCTCCTGTTTTCTGGCTCCCTTTACTTGGCTTGTCTCCTGACCATTCTTAGTGTGCTTAGCCCGGCCACTCTAAGGACCGGTATAGCATCTTTCCTCTGTGTCCTGTTAGCGTGTTAGGTTCCAGAATCGTGATAAAGGGAACAGCATACATAAAAAAATACAGTATACATTTTCACAAGGCTCCTTAAAATCACATGCCTTGGTCATATAATATGGCCATACCATGTTTAAGCTATCACTTTTTCAACGTACCCCGATATTGGTAGGTGCTTATGGCAATTCTTGCTGCCTTAGCTGCTTGAACAGACTCTCATCAAATGTATTGTCCTGTGTGTACTTCTAAAATGGGTACGTGGAGTGGAGGAATTGGGGGCTCAACTCAAAAAAAAATTTTCAGGACTCCAGATACACATAGAGGGAATTAATTGAGGAAGAGTGGGTCCATACGTTTCTTAAAAGTATTGTTGCTGTAAAGATCAAAATACTGTATATGAAAAATACTCATTTAAGGTACAAACAAAAAAGTATACATTTATTTACAAAGCAACCTAAAATGAATTACAAATATGGTGATTTAATCACACCATATGGCCATACAGTGTGCAAGCCCCCCACTGCTTCAATACATTTGGGAATATTGGAAGTGGCCCGCCAATATTTGTACTTGGAAATACTGATGGGCTTATACATTGCATGGCCACATAGTGCAATTAAATCTCTATATTTGTTTGCTAAGAAAGGTGCTTTTCAAATAGTCTTAAAAGATTTTATACTGCATTTTTATGTGTGCAGTCCACTTAACTGCCATAATGTGAACTCTGCATATATATTGCATTGAGTGCGCACCTCCCAATTACCTTTTTTTTTGTCATAATATGTAAAGAGTAATATGTAATGTAGTGAATGAAGTGTACCTCTTATTTTAATAAAGTTAACAAAATGGTATTTATTTCTTATTATTTTCATATATAATGAATTTTGAAATAAATAATTGAAAATAATGTTTACTATTCATAGACATATGACTTTTCTTGCCTTCTTTAATTACATGTCAGTGTTTAAAAGAACACTGTAATGACTACCATTTCATCACTGTGTCCCTCCATTTAGTGTTAAACCATTTTGAAGCAGTTTAACACTAAATAAGTGTCCCTGGTCACCCACAACTCAGCCCCTACTGTAGGTGTGGCTAAGGAAGAGATTACACATTTTCTAGTAGTCATAACCATTGTTACCAGTAATGGATGCTAAATAGGATAAAAGCAGTCAGCTGACACTCTCAGCCAATCAGAGGTGCCCATTGTTGCCCAGGCCAATACTTCCTTATTAGCCCAATCAGCATAGAGGGGTTGGGGCTGCTGGGGACTTTTGTTTAGGATTAAAACATAAAACTATTAAGAACTATTCAACACTGAATGAAGGAATGGCACCAGGAGACTCCAGACCAGGGCCAGATTAAGAGCCCAGTGGGCCTGGTGCTGACAATTATGACGGGCCTAATTACAGAATCATATCGACCAAAAACAGTAAAACACTCCCAAGCGTCATGTATCTGATGGAGATGGTGCTGGAGAGAAAGAAAACATCAGCTATAAGAAAACACATACCCTGGGCTAATCTCTCACTAATTTATGTTTTCATCTTTCAAGTAAATCCACAACCCCTAACAGCAGTGTCCAGTCAAGCAAGAAGTCAATGGGCACGGTAAAAAGGTGTGCCACTGACACAAATCACGTAACCTGCCAAAAGGGTCGAACATGCCCAAAAAGAGGATATGTCTGCCCAAAGAATTAGAAGGCCAGCCTAGTATGAATGCATGTCAGGCTGCCTGCCAATCATGCAGCTGGCCAATTAAGGGCATACTATGCAGACAGCACCCTGAGCTTGGCATAAATGCATCTAATGATGCGCTCGCTCAACGCTTTCTAAGGACTGTCCCCTAGCACTCGCTGGTCCACTTGTCTCCTCACCTTCTTACTAGCAGGCAGAAGCTCCTGGTATATAGTCTGGGACAGAGAAAAGCTGTATGTAGAAGAAAGGGAACATGCCACAGTGTTAGAGAGACCAAAGTCAGCATTACCTTAAAAGATCACTATAGGGTCAGGAACACAAACATGAATTCATGACCCAATAGTGTTAAAACCACCATCTAGCCCCCCTGGGCCCCTCATGTCTCCATAAATATAGCAAAATCTTACTGTATTCAAGCCTGAAGCTGTAACTCTGCATGCTATTAGACTCAGAAAAACAAGCAGTCTGCTGACATCATTAGAAGTGGTGGCCTAATCCAATCACAGTGCTTCCCCATAGGATTGGCTGAGACTGACAAAGAGACAGATCAGGGGCAGAGCCAGCATGATTCAAACACAGCCCTGGCCAATCAGCATCTCCTCATAGAGATAAATTGAATCAATGAATCTCTATGAGGAAAGTTCAGTGTCTGCATGCAGAGGGAGGAGACACTGAATGTTTGGATGCATTTTAGGTAGCCATGACCCAGGAAGGATCTCGAACAGCCATCTAAGGAGTGGCCAGTGGGCTATCACAAGTCTGTAATGTAAAGACTGCATTTTTTCTGAAAAGAGTGTTTACAGCAAAAAGCCTGACGGTAATGATTCTACTCACCAGAACAAATTCAATAAGCTGTAGTTGTTCTGGTGACTCTAGTGTCCCTTTAACTATATTCATTGTCAGCCAGTCCACACAAGTTTTGTTCCTATCCATCCCTCTTAAGTTTCCATACTTAAATAAGAGTATGTGAAAAGTAGTTAGGGTTGCCACCTTTCTTGGAAAAACATACCGCCCTTGCTAATTTGCATAATTAAATATGTATGGGTGACATCACATGATGTAAATCACAAGGAGTGACATAAGAGCAAATGCTGTAAAATCACCAAAAAACTACTTAGTTTGATTCTGCTGTATAGATGCATTCCTCCCAGTGGCCCCATGTCTCCCAGTGCCCCCATGTGTCGATTACTCCAGGTCTCCGTGTTCCTATGTATCAGTGTCTCAGTGCCCCATGTCTCCCCGTGTCCCCTAGTGTCGTGTCCCAAGGTCTCCCAGTGATCCTATGTATCACAGTGTCTCAATGCCCCATGTCTCCCTGTGTCCCCATGTATCCCAGGGTCCCCATGTCACTAGGAAGACAGGAAGACCTGGGGACACGGGGGAGACCTAGGGACACGGAGACACCAGTGACACTGGGAGACTAGGGGACTCGAGCTGGGACGCATGGGGACACTAGGAAAATAGGGGACACAGACACCAAGGACACAGACACTAGAGACACTGGCTGGGGGACATGGGGACATTGAGACATGGGGGCACTGGGAGACACCATGGCCACAGACACTAGGAACACTAGCTTGGAGACATGGGGACATTGAGACACTTGAGGCACTGGGAGACATGGAGGCACTAGGAGACATGGGGACAGTGAGACACTGGCAGACTGCGGGGCACTGGGAGATTAGGGGGCACTGAGACACCAGGGACACTGGCTGGGAGACATGGGGACACTGTGTCCCCATGTGTCTGTGTCATAATGTCTCCCAATGTCCCTTAGTGTCTCAGTGTCCCCATGTCTCCTTGCAGCATTTCCCCCATCCCTTACTTCCCTGAGCTGTAGGCTGTCTCTGCAGGGTGGGAGTTGCTGTCTGGACTCTCTGTAGATCAGTGAGTATAGATAGGCAGGGAGAGATATGGAACTTCCTATCCCTGCCTGTCTCCACATACAGCGACCCCTTCTGGCCAGTGCTGGTATTGCATAGTAATCTCTTGTTTATACTGAGAAAAATACCAGCATTTGTATTGCCAGTATCACTGTAATATTGGCACCAGCCAGGCAGCCTCAAATACTGGCTGTGCCAATAAAATAAAAGCCAGGTGGAATCCCTAAGAGTAGTGTGTGAAAAAAAAAAAAAAGTAAAAAAATTAATCTGTTAATTTGTTTTCAATCAATCTGTCCATAGTTAGTCTAATTGCATTTTATAACTTGTTTTATATGTTTAATCTTTTTATAGGTTTTTTTCTCTGCCTGTGAGCTGAATGTGTTTGATGTTCTGGCAGGGTCTGAGGTACCTCTGCCCCTATCAGCTATATCGGAGCTTTTAGGCACAAGCATCAGAGGAACTGAAATCTTACTTGATGCCTGTGTGGGCCTTAAACTATTGGAAGCAGATAATCAAAATGGAGAAGGTGAGTAAAATATATTACAGGGTTATTTATAACTTCCAAAAAAACAGTATATCACTACAGTGTCAGTGAATGTATTAAGTATAAACAATACTTAGCTTGAAGTAAAAAAACAGCCTCCCAAGATCGCTACCCAAAGGATGACCTTTTACAATATATAGAAAACCAAAACAAACATACGGGATACGGCTGGACAAATCTACAAAAGGAACATAAACAGAATATAGTGTAATACAGTTAACCAATCAATTATGCGCCACACATAAGTGCACTCACAGGATTGCGTTGAATAAAGCGCTCACAAGGTGCCTCCCCCGAAGTTATGGGGGGCAGTTGGTCCCACTTTCCACTGCAAGGTAACCGATATTACACAGGACTTCAATAGATGAGGGTAAAAAAAAAAGCTATTTTATTTGGTTAAAAGGTGAACAATCACCATAGGATAAATTGAAACAAACAATTGGTGCTTCGCGTTTCGTTCCGTAAGGAACTTCCTCAGGGACCACAATAGCATTAACCCCTTAAGGACTGGACTGTTTTTGCGATGTTGTACATTTGCGACCAGGAATATTTTTACACTTTTGTGGTGTTTGTGTTTGGCTGTAATTTTCCGCTTTCTCATTTACTGTTCCCATACAAATTATATATTGTTTTTTTCAGGACAAAAGGGGCTTTCTTTACATACCATTATTTATATAATCTCATGTATTTTAATTTTAAAAAAATACAAAAATCTGATGAAAAATTGAAAAAAATACATGTTTTTTGACTTTTACTTGAAAAATCTTTTACTCATCTACAAAAGCGAATGAAAAAAACTGCTAAATAGATTCAAAATTTTGTCCTGAGTTTAAAAATACCTAGTGTTTACGTGCTTTTTTTTTTGCATGTTATAGGGCTATAGGTACAAGTAGGATATTGCGGTTTCAAAACATACATTTTAAAAATTTATCAATAGTGACATTGTAACACTATTATCTGTCATAAATCTCTGAATAACACCCACATGTACATATTTTTTTTAAAGTAGACAACCCAGGGTATTCAATATGGGGTATGTCCAGTCTTTTTTAGTAGCCACTTAGTCGAAAACACTGGCCAAAGTAAGCATTCATATTTGTTTGTGTGTGAAAAAAGTAAAAAAACTAAATTGAACGCTAATTTTGGCCAGTGTTTGTGACCAAGTGGTTACTAAAAGACTGGACATACCCCATTTGCAATACCTTGGGTTGTCTTCTTTTGCAAATGGTATGCCATCATGGGGGTAATTCTCATTCCTTGGCTACCATACGCTCTCAAAGGCAACGTAACCAACCTGGCCATTTTTAATGTAAAAATATTTGACCCATATATTTGACCTTGTAACGTTCAAAAATGCTATAAAACCTGTACATGGGGGGTACTGTTTTACTCGGGAGACATCGCTGAACACAAATATTAGTGTTTAAAAACTGGAAAATGTATCACAACAATTATATCATCAGTAAAAGTGCTGTTTGTGTGTGAAAATGCAAAAAAAGTCACTTTCACTGACAATATCATCGCTGTGATATGTTTTACTGTTTTGAATCACTAATATTTGTGTTCAGCGAAGTCTCCCGAGTAAAACAGTACCCCCCATGTACAGGTTTTAGGGTGTCGTAGAACGTTACAGGGTAAAATACAGTACTAGCAAATTAAATTCTCTGGACTTTCGGCCTGGGTTGGCAGGCAGGTCCCTCAAATTGCAATCAATAAAATTACTTAATTATGTAAAATATTACATAAATACGCACGTAGAATTTAAATATATATGCATATTTATATATTTGAAGTCTACGTGTATATTTATATAATTATTTATGTAATTTTGTATATGGGCGTATGTATATTTCTTATTATTTTTATTTATTTTTATATACATAGATATATATACAAATTCATTCTAAGTGTATTTTGATATAAATATATATATATTAATTTTAAAATACAGTTAGAATAAAATTTCATATAGCTATATAATTTTTAAATTTTTTATTATTATTTTTAAAAAAAATTATTTAATTTAAATTACTTATTAGTTATATTTTATAATAATATATATATACAATATATATAGTTATTATATATATTATATATATACGTGTGTAATTTAATTATAAGTGTATTTTTATATTAATATAAGTACATATTAATATAAAAATACACTTAGTATGGCATTATATATATATGATATATAGACATATATTATATAGATACAATATATGTCTATATATCATATTTATACATATATAATTATTATTATTTTTTTTATTACCATTAACTTTAATTTTTTTTTTGATTTTACAGTTGCAGGGAGACTGCCTGTCAGTACAGGCAGTCCCCCTGCAGGCAGACACATGGACACCTATTGTGACCATGTGATGGCTGTGTTGAGCGATCACATGGCCACAGGGGTCCTAATCTGCCGTGGGGAGACTGTCTGGGCTGCAGGCAGTCTCCCCACAACCGGAGCCACGCTGATCGCCGCCGGGGGAACGACGGCGATCAGGTAAGTAGCCCCAGACCGTTTGGACGGTTCAGGACCGTCATCGGTCGGCAAGGCAAAAATGCCGATGACGGTCCTGAACCGTCCTCGGTCCTTAAGGGGTTAAAATAAATCACAGTATTACACTGTATGAAAAAACATATCCTAATCCACACATTAAAAAGTCCCTTTAAATAGGGCTAATCCCTATGTCCATTGGTAGATCCGTGGATGTTTACAACCTTCTGTAGCCTCATTGTTGTCGGTACAGAGTCTCCTCAGCTGTTCACAATCTCGGCATCTTCATCCCAATCAAAATTGGCGCGTTCGTTTGAGACCGGAACCGGAAGTAGGTGTGATCCAACATTTCCGCGTTCCACATGCATACCAGCTCGGTAATGCTTGAATTTGAGGGTATGTTGCCCTCTCCTTCATAGCAATGATTGACAAAAATTTATAATATATATATATATATATATATCTACTGAAGAAAGAGATATTAGCATCACAAACAGTTTAAAGACCATAATTCTGTAGATATCATACAAAACATAAGGTGGAATGCATAACATATATTGTCTGTAATCCATTATAAAATCGTATTCAGATCCACATAATAAGTGAGATAATTACCAACAATCTTAAAGTGACATGTGCTGGAAAAACAATAACAGGATAAAATATAGTAAATAAAAAAGTCTAATCAAATAATGTTCCCCAAAAAAACCTCCATATTCATTGGAGCAGCACACATACCAATGTCTAGAAAAAAAAGCTGTTCTTATATAAAGTAATAAGAGATAGTAGAAAGTCAAGCTACTTTGTCTTCCAAATGATGTTTAGTATAAGGTCTTAAAGAAATGTAACACCATCTATACAAAGTTTTTCATAACATGAAGCACAGTTGGGTGAGTCAACCCTATGCAACACCCTCTTGGGGGTATATGTATATGTGTGTGTGTGTATCACAGAAAAGGTATAAAGGATAAAGAGGTATTGATAACAAAGATAACATTATAATGAATCCCTTAATCCAAAAAACAGACTAAATCTATATCTATATTTAAACCTCTGGGCTCCAATGTTTGAAGTCTGTGGATCCAAAATGTCTCCCTTTGAGACAGTTTTTTTATCCTATCACCTCCACGCCAAAAGGGTAAAACTCTCTCAATGCCCATACTTTTGAACTCCATAAAAGTAAAAAAGGGACAAGTAATACAATGAACCAGGACAGAGTGAGTAGTGAGTTTCTTTTTAATGTTGTTTAGTTGTTCAAGTAATCTAACCTTCAAAGCTCTTTGTACTACCAATGTATTATTTGCCACACGGACACTGTAGCAAATAAACCACAAAGTCTATGTGGCAACCTATCTCTGTCTTGACTTTAAGCACCTCTTTTGAAACGAAACTAAAGAGCCTATCAGTTCTCTCAATAGATGCTGTAATGCAAGCTTTACATGAGCCACAACCCCTAAATGATCCAGAGTTTGTCAAAGTGTTACTCATAGTGGGTTTGATGGCATAACTGGGAGCTATCATATTTTTAAAATATAAATAACCGTTGGACGGTCTGATAGAGATGCTCCCAGAACCGGACCTTGTAATAAGATGGGCCAAAGGTTTTGTAAGCTTCTTTTTATCCTTTGATGATTGGTGTTATATTGGGTGATGAAGGCAGATCTACAATTTTCATTAACAGTGCGTGAATTTAGTCTAACAGTGTGTTTCACTCCAAATGGCTAATAGAATGGATTTCTTTCTCTAGTGTGTTCTTATTATAACCTTTGTCAAGGAGTTTGTTTTTAATGTGTAGGGATTGAATCTGAAAATCCTAAATATGGGAGCAATTACGCCTAAGGCGTGTGAACTGGCTCTTGGCTAACACGGGTGTCCGTGTTTTTGTTTGTTCTTGGCTATACCCCTCAGCCATGGTCTATGGTGACAGCTTTGTTGATGTACAAAGCCATTACCATCAGTGGGCTTAAAAAAACATTTAGTTGTGATCTGTCCCTGGTCACAAAATAGATGGAGATCAAGAAATGAATTTAGTTCTTGTTCTACTCCAGGGTAAAGACCAGATTGTATAGATTGGAGTTAAGATATTTAACATTATCCTGAAATCTAACTGAAGACCCCTTTAAATAATAATAACATCATCTATATAACGCCGCCAGAGCACCAGGTTTTACCTCCAGTCATGCCCCGACCACACAAACAATTCCTCCCATCTTCTCATGTAGGCGTTGGCAAAACTGGGGGCAAACCTGGTGCCCATGGCGTCCCCCGTGATTTGTAAATAATATTCACCATTGAAAAAGAAATAATTGTGATCTAACAAATTTAATGGAGGACAAAATAAACTCCTTTGAGCCCAAAGATAACTCAACCCTTGTCATATAATAGTCGATCACTTCCAATCCCAGTCTATGGCTAATCACAGTATACAGAGAGGTCACATCTAATGTGGCCCAACTGTATTCTGAATCCCACTCTATACTCTCCATCTCCTGCAGAAAGGACTTGGTATCTTTGACATATGAAGGTGCCCCCTTTTGCGCAGAATCCACATAGGCGGATAAATTGGCAGTTAACGAATTAACGCCGCTGATAATAGGGCGGTCAGGTGGATTAGGGAGACATTTGTGGGTTTTAGGAAGAAAATGAAAAATGGGAAATATTGGATTCTTTTGAAACAAATACTCGAAGTTTTTTTTCTGAAATGATCCCATTATTTCTAGCAGCATCTGAAATTATCCTAAGTTCTAAATTAAATTGAACAGTAGGGTTATTCTTTATGTATGTTTTCCTGTCTCCCAAAATGTTAAGTGATTCCTCCAGATAGTATGTGGTGGTCATCAAAACTATTCCCCCCCCCCCACCCGCCCTGCCTTATCTATTTCTCTGATTACCAGATTTTCTCATTCTATCAGATTCTTTAAAGTAATCTCTTTTTCTTTGGTTAAATTATAGGAGCAAGATCTCTTGCTGGAATGCCTGATCAACCATATGTTCAAAGGTTTCTAGAAAGGGACCCTTACTTTGAACCGGGAAAAAAATGTGATCTTGGTTGGAATTTGTAATTGGCCCTTGTCTCCACCGTGCTAGTGTCAGGGCCAGATTAAGAGCCCAGTGGGCATGGTGCTGACAATTATGGGGGCCTAAGTACAAAAACCAGGGCCAGATTAAGAGCCCAGTGGGCCTGGTGCTGACAACTATGACGGGCCTAAGTACAAAAACACTAAAACAGTCATACCTCTCAAGCATTATGTATCTGGTGGAGATGTTGCCAGAGGGAAACTCATAGTATGCAGCTATAAAAAACCTCAGATTCTCTTAAAATATGCTAATCTCTCTCTAATTCATGCTTTCATCTTTCAAGTAAATCCACCCCCTAACAGCAGTGTCCCAGTGAAGCAGGAAGTCAATGGGCGATGTAAAAGGGTGGGCCACTGACGTGGATCATGTAACCAGAACTTCCGAAAGGGCCGAACATGCCCAAAAACTAGGCATGTCTGCCCAAAGAATTGAAGGCCAGCTTGGCATGAATGCATGTCAGGCTGCCTGCCAATCATGCAAGCTGGACAACAGCATCCTGAGCTTGGCATAAATGCTTCTAATGATGCACTCGCTCCATTTCTTACTAGCAGACAGAAGCTCCTGGTATGCAGTCTGAGACAGAGAAAAGGTGTATGTAGTGAGTGTAGAAGAAAGAGAACAAGCCATAGTGTTAGAGAGACCAGTCAGCATTACCTTAACTAATTTCATTCCAGCCAGTCCACACACGTTTTGTTTTCGTATATCCCTCTTAAGTTTCCATACTTAAGCAAGATAATGTGAAGAGTTTCATGGAAAAAAAATACAGGCCTTGCTAATTTGCATAACTAATTATGTATGTGTGACATTGCATGATGTAAATCACAAGGAGTGACAGAGAAATATCTGTGAAATCACCAAAAAACTACTTAGTTGGATTCTGCTGTATAGATGAATTGATCCCAGTGCCTCCCTGTCTCCCAGTGTCCCCATGTCACTCAGTGTCCCCTAGTGTCTGTGTGCCCATGTCTCCCAGTGTCCCCATGTCACTAGGGGACACTGGGAGACATGGGGACACTGGGAGACTTGGCGACACTGTCTCCCAGTGTCCCCATGTCTCTGTGTCCCTGTAACGAACGCTGAAGTGGTAGCTAGGGGTTCGTCAGTTTTTAAGCAAGAGTGATTGTAGCTCGCCATTCGGTTCCCCATTCGTCGATTAATCCCAAGTAAGCGAAGCACTCAGGCTGAAATTCTCCAAAGTAGTAATAAGGTATCCAAACACCAGCTGAAACATGATGACGGGTGCAACAGGAATGATGTTTATTGATGCCACCACTGGCTTTTATGGAAGTCCCCCTGCAAGAGGACCTTCCACAGTGCACAAACATGACAACCAATCATATTTCTTAATTATAGTAAAACACTCCCTCTCTCTGCCTGTGAGATAATTAGGTAAGCTAAGGGATAACCCAATTATCTCCAGGCAAAGGGAACACATTTTCCCCAAAACTTAGAGCACCCCTTAAACTACATGGCATCCCCACAAATAGCATATCCCCTGATAGCCCCAATCTGGGAGACCAACATATTCAAATTTCACCCAGATGGGTTCAAGGGTTTTCGAAAAGTGTGGAAGTCTTATTTTACCGACCGCACATGAGGCTCCTGCCCAAAGCAGTTCCATGAATTCAGTGTGTGTGGTCGGTCAATTTCGAAAAAGGCATGAAAATGAATTAAAACATAAACAGAGCCTCCTGGCTCATACGAGCGATTGTTCACCTTGTTCGTGGGAACTGAACTACCAAACGGCGCTCTTCTAGCTGTTCAGCAACAAAAGGAAGCAGGCGTTGGTATGTGTCCAGTGGTGATTTTAGTTCCAGACACTCGACGACCAAGTCCCACTGACTCCTTTCTTGCAAACAAGATGACCGCCATTTTCTCTGCCTCGTGGCATTCGACTATGCGAACGGTGGCCACCCATACAGAGCACTCAATTGACGGTTCCCTTTGTAGTTAATGAGCCAGGAGGGTGGTCGGTGTTCGGTAGTTTAATCTACCGAACCAATAAAACTTAAATGAATGGCCAAAGAAAACCCCAAAGTCAAAGCAGGTTTTCTCACAGTCCCCATGTCTTCCAGTGTCCCCATGTCACAATGGGACACTGAGAGACATGGGGACAACAGGAGAGATGGTGACAGTGGGAGACATAGGGGTTACTGAGACACTAGGGATACTGGGAGACTAGGGACACCGAGACACTAGGGACACTGAGATACATGGGGACACAGACACCAAAGACACTGGCTGGGAGACATGGAGACACTGAGACACTTGGGGGCATTGTGTCCCTAGTGTCTCTTTCCCCATGTCTCAGTGTCCCCGTGTGTGTGTCCACATGTCTCCGTGTTCCCAGGTCTCAGTGTCTCCTAGTGTTTCAGTGTCCCCAAGTGTGTGTTCATGTCTCAGTGTCCCCATGTGTGTGTGTCCCCAAGTGTCTCAGCATCCCCCAAGGTCTCCATGTGTCCCCATGTCTCATAGTGTCCCCTAGTATCTCAGTGTCCCCATGTCTCCCTGCAGCCATTACGCCATCCCTCACTTCTTGAGTTGTAGGCTGTAGGTGAACAACCCTAAGAGTAGTGTTTTAAAAAAATAAAGATTTTTTTTTTTTAAATCAATGGGCCTATTCCATGGGCCTGAGCCTGGAGCTGCAGCTCCATCAGCCCCTATGTTAATGTGGCCCTGGCTAGTGTTGATATCTGAAGTGGATGGGTGTAAAAGTAAATGTCTCTTGATGATCAGAGACTGAATGTATTTTTTCAAATCTATATAAAGGTTGAAATCATTAGCCGCTTTATTAGGAGCAAATATCATTCCTTTATATAGTAAATTAATCTCCTCATCTGATAGCGGAATCTCTGTTAAATTAAAAAATACCCCTATCAGTTTCCTTTTTCCTCAAAGGGTATATAACCTGTGGAGTCTCCTTTAATCTTCTATCCTTACCCCCTTCTGAGGGAAGTCTTGATGTAAAAGGGAGAATCTGTTGGGATGTTCCCAAGTTTCCGTCCTGGGGCGGAAATAATTGGTTATGGATTTTTCCTTGGGTCCTCTGTGTCTCCTTTGAAAAGTTAATTCTTGATCATTATATTGGGAGGTATTCCCATACAAATCAGTTTTATTTCTTACAGCCTGGGCATAAGACCTGGTGTCACCCCCTTAACAGGAGATGTTTTCCTAGGGAGATGGGACTGGGATCTTTCCTTATAGTGTGTCTTATGTTGGTTATTTGAATTGTCATAAGGGGGTCTATATGAATCCTTATGTGTTGCTCTGGAAAAGGAATTTTTCCTATCTCTATTTGAGGGGGTCCTCGGGGTTACTTTTTTATATGAAAAAGAACATGGTTCATTTATTACGTGTGGAGAAGGTGTTTAGTAATTTATCCTCCCTATCTCTACTATACTTCTTATTCTTCGTCTCAGCATTTTTTTCCATCTAGTTTTTTAATATTACTCTGTAGGGACTCTTCCCTCTCTTTAAACTCCCTACTCTCAAGATCTATGGAGGGATTGGTGTCTAAATCAGTCAATTCTATTTCTAGCTTATTCTGCATCTCCCTAGAATGTTTAATGATAAGTTGAATTAACTGAAAGGAGCAGTTTGTGAGAATCTCATCCCATTCTTGCAGGAAGAGATCATCTTCCAAACCAAATGCTGGAGTTTTATCAATCATTAAACCCGGTGGTATTAAACCCTCCTTAATTCTCTAGGAAAGCCACCTCCACCCATTTCTTAGTTTCAGCGGTTAGTAGCTTCTCTTTCTTTTTAACAAAAACTCATCCAATCCCTTAAAGGGTTGAGGTTTTTCCCATTCTTGGAACATAGCCTAAAATTTTCCTTCTACGATTTATTTGTAGGTTGGATAGAAAATTGACATTTGTAGCAATGTTTTATCAATAGACAATAGGTATGTGTGCTAAAAACCTGGATAAAAGGTAATATCCCCAAAAAAACAGTATATCACCACAGTGTCAGTGAATGTAGTGAAATATTAAGTATAAACAATAGCTTGGAGTAAAAAAAACAGCCTCCCAAGATTGTTACCCAAAGGATGACCTTTTACAATATATAGAAAACCAAAACAAACATACGGGATACGGCTGGACAAATCTTTTTTATTTATAACTTCACTTACCGTGTTTAATAAGACATGTTATAAATACACATTATCAAACATTCTAAAAATTGGCATATGAAAAATGTATGAACTGTGGGGCAAGGAGTACATTATTTGTGAATGTGATTCCTATGTGCACAGCTACCCTTTAAATTTCCACATATGATCTTGGAGATGGAGGAACATATCTTCAGATAAGTATATACTGTATATTAATCTATACATTTTCAGGTAATTTCAACATAATAAAACATAGATTAGATGTATATAAAGTGCATAAGTGCATGCATAAAGCGTACCTGCCCTGCTGAACATTTGCCCTTAATTACATATGAGCCGCTCATCAGTTTTACGTCTCCCAATAAGGCTTTTATGGGTTTGGATCAATATAAAACCCACCATTAAAGGCTTATCGATAAATAATCCAATAAATATGGAATTGAACTTTAAAAAAAAAATAATTGACTATATACTTTTCAATGCAATTATCGCATTCAAAAGCAATTATCAAAAACATAAACCTCCATAAATGGCCTTGAAAATAAAGACAGCCAATAGCAATATGTTTTGTTTTTTTTAGACCACCCCACACCCCCTGATTTATTATTGCTGTTAGCATTAGCAATAATAAGGTGGGGGGGGGGGAAGAGGCTAATATCCCAAGAGCCCTCACTCATGGCAGCAGGTAGGGGCTATAAAATTAATTTAAATGGGGAAATCAATGTCCGCTCAAGATAAAGCCTATAGTGTTCCTTTAACTGAATAAAAATAAACTAAAATGGTGTCTCCAATCAAATGGAAAAACAGTGCATATTGGCATGTATTGAGTAGTAACACTTAATCTGCAAAATGTAGGCTAAAAGAGTTGAGTTGGAAGAAACTTCCAATTCAATAAAGCTAAAGATGTTTTTTTAATTCCTTTGACCTACAATTTACAAGTTAATTTTCAAGTTATCATAATTCACTATTTGCTAAATATACCATACTCCTTGGGCTTGGCATGCAGGATCGTCATATTAATATGTAACAGTTACAAAATATGCTTTTCCAACTTTAGAAATAATATCACACCTACAGTGTCCCTATATAGTTGAAACAGGCCCTACTTTGGCCCCAAATTACTTTGTCCCTCCTTTTTGTACCTTTGTCCCTGTTTTCTAGGAGATCCATATTGTTGATTTGTATGACTAGCAAACAGTGAAATTAGTGTTGGGGTCTCAGTGTCAGACAGTGTAATTCCTAATTTAGAATTAGTCTGCTTAGTCTTTTGAACATCAACCATTATTTTTCCTTCAGGGAATTTGGTGATGTTATCCTGTACATCTAAGGGAGCCACTACTATTTCTGAGGGTTTTCTATTCCATCAACCTCTTTTTGGGATTCCCACTCTACTAAGCCTGAGCATGAGGTATTTTGCTATTGCTTTAACTGATGTATTACGGAAAGGTACTGCTTCAGAATATCTTCTAGCATAATCCATAACCACCAATATATATTGATGCCCACTTGCTGATTTTACTAGTGGGACTATTAAATTCATGTCAAACCTTTCAAATGGTACTTCACTTATAGGTAATAGTCCTAATTGGCTACAATATGTATTGAAAGAGGCTCTATGCTGACACTCGGGGCAAGAGGAGTAATAATTTATAATTGCTACAAATATACCAGGTCAGTAAAAGCACTGCAAAATTATTTCTCGTTTTTTCTACACTTAAATTCTCTTCCAGCATATGACTCTGTGCCACATTCAAAACAGTGTGTCTAAATGACTTCAACTTCTTCATGATTTCAAGACCATTCCTTTCTAACTTGTAAACAAATCATTTCACACTTCAAAATAAGGATATGAAAGGGAAATTCCAGGTTGTACTTGAGCTCCGTTAGAAACAGCACTTATCTCTAAATCATGTAGAACATTATGTTGAATGTCTTGAATGGTATTATGTGCCTCATTATTTTGATCCACTAGGGTTGGCATATAGTTACTGATAAAAATGTGGTCTTTTTTTTGCTGGGCATTTTGTAATCCCCATTCTAATTCAGAGAAAGGAATCACATTTTCAAAATTGCCTGTAACATCCCTGGGTCATTTTCTCAGTAGTTCCATAAATGAAAAAAAATTAGGTGTAGCGGACACCTACACCTTTGCTACTATCCATCATATTTTTGGCTGTGCATAACCTAATTTGTTGCATTATTTTATATTATTTGCCACTGTTCTTTACTTATAGGAAACAAGTAACAACCTGTCTTTTATATAATTAGTCTGGTTGCTCGGTAAGAATCAGAATCAGGAGCGTGGCACTAATTGACCCCACCTATCGTTATTCACACTGCCTTAATTGCCAACCACACAAACTAACTGGGCATCCCTTGGGTGGCTGATGTTCGGCATACGAACACGTGGCGGTGGCCATCTTTACATACGAACGCACCAGCGGTGTTTGGTCATCGAGTGTCTGGAATCCAAATCGGAAAACTCGACATCACGAACACCGCAGAGACTTCCATACTCGCACCCGTTCATGTGCGGCGGCGTTCAGTGAAAAGAGTCATACGAATGAGGGGAATCATACGAACAAAGACACAACCCATTATGTTAGACATTTTCGTGCTTTTCAACCTCACGAATGGAGGCCGACGACACAAGGCCAAACACCTTGTGTGTGGTCGGTAAAACTAAGACCTCCATAAAACTTTCGAACCCTTGAACTGATCTGGGTGAATTTTCAATATGTTGCTCCTCCAGATCGAGGCTATCAGGGGATATGTAAATTATGGGTGTATGTTATTGTTTTGGGGTATATCCAAGAATTGGGGAAAAATATGTGTAATAACTTATAGGTAATTAAGTTATCTTTCATGCTGAGGGGAGGGAATATGTGTACTGTATCCATCTCTTGATTGGCTGATGCCTAAATCTCTGTGGGTGTCTCCCTTGCATGGGAGAATTGTATAAAAACTGAGTGTGTGGTTTAAAAGACCAGTTCTGCTCCTAATACTGAGTGTCGTCCAGTTATTAGGAAAGGTGATGGAATATTTGTATAACCTCTTGTATTTCTGCCTGCTGTCCTGAAGTAACCTGCATGTTCCTGAGTAGCTGTTGGAGTGACCAGCGGAGAATAAGCCCTGCTACCATTGCTCTCCGGTACATTTGGGCAGTCCCTCCTTAACACTACTTCATAAGCCAATTTATTCACTACACTCACTCTGAAGTCAATAGCACCACAAGGGTTTTTAAAAGAAACCAAAGTTGTGGAATATTCAAGTTTGTCCCCATAAATGCAAATAATAACATTCTGTAAACCATCAATTTCCATCTCGGGTATTCGATACTAGAGTCACCATACTTCCACAATCTAGCAATGATTTTACTTTGTTCCCTTTTGTCTTTAAATAACATGACTTGGGATTAGGACAGCAATCGGTGCTAGCAGACATTAATGATATAAACCACCATTACCCATATGACACTGCATAGGTTTATTTTTCAAAGGGCATTCTTTTGTCAAATGTGCAGGTTCATCACAACAATAAAATTTTCTAACATAGTCCATTCCCCATCTAGACCCTTTTCCATGGTTGATGTTTCAAAGAGCAGACATAGGACTTCCTTCTGGATACACATCACATCCCTAATTTGCAGGGTGTTAGTTACTCAGCCTCTGTGGACACTCCAGCTTTACAGGACCTTGCAGCTCCCCTACTGCTAAGTATCTCTCCACTAGGACAACACATTGGTCCACTTTGTCACTCTGGCCAACCCATCTCCTTAGTGCATGAGTAGGCGTAGCAGAAACTGGCCTGTAGCGGAGAGCTGATATTCCACAGGTTATCTCCACTCAACATCCCAGTGAAGCTCAGGAACAAGAATTAAAAATCCATAAGGCAATAATTCCAGCAGGCAAGACAATCCAATAATATCCCAACAACAATCACAATGACTGGACGACACACAGCATCAGGAGCAGAACTGAACTTTTAATCACTCAACCTTCTTTTAAAGCTTTCCCCCATGCAAGGGAGGGATTTACAGTAATTACACAATACACCAATCATACATGAGTTGCCACCCACACATCCCCTTAGTATGACACATAATCCAATTATGCAGGACACAGTTCCCCTGGTTTTCTGGATGTACCCCTAAACATAGGGGTACCCCTTTAAATAGTACATCCCCTGGTAGCCATGATCTGGGTGAGACACATATCCACAAATCACAAATCACCCAGATTGGACCAGGGGTTCGGAAAATTCCTGCAGGTAAAAAAAAGACGGACCGCGCTGGAGTTAACAGCCGAAAAGGGTTCCATACATTTTGGCCCTGCGGTCGGTCACAGAAAAAGGGAATGAAACACACGAATGGCTTGGGTTATGAAGACTGGGGAGAATTCGGGTAAATCCCCTTGTTCGTGGGGTTCATTCTACTGAATGGGGAGCCGTTCGTAGTTCTTACACGAATTGGCAGCAGTGTGGAGGTCTCAGCGGTGTTTGCCTAACCGAGTGTCCGATTTGAGTTCCAGACACTCGATGGCAAAACACCTCTGTTCGGGATTTTAAGATGGCCCCCGCCACATGTTCGTCTCCCAAATGGCGGCCACCCAGAGGATAAAGCACACACTGCACGAATTGCCAATTACCCGTTTGCAACATTGTTGCGAATGGTAATTGGAGGCACACTTATTCCTGGGGTGGTCTGATTGTTCGGTAGTTTCACTCGCATAATAACTGGAGTGATTTTACCGAACAATCAGATGAATTCTTCATACACTTTACATACACATGGCAAAATTTAACCGAAAACATACGAATACACATAATTCTGAGGAGAGCCCAATGCCATCCGCTACACGGCCCATCAATAGGAGCTCGACTTTGTGTTCTGATGAGTTCATTTCAGGTTGCAGCCCCTTCCGAGCCAGGTGTATGAGGTCAAACACTTGTGACCTGGTTGCCTCATCTGAGCTATAGATCCACAAATGGAATCTTTGTGCATGCAATGCTAGGATTTCTAGAAGTAAGATGAAAATGCTTGTTCTTGGGTAGAACATTGGCTTAAAACCAGAGTACAAAGAGTTGTCATTAATGGTAAATTTTCAAGCTGGACAGAGGTGGCAAGTGGTGTCCCCCAGGGGTCTGTTCTGGGACCCCTTCTATTTAACATGTTTAGAAATGATCTTGAAGACAGCATTGAAAGTCATGTTTCAGTGTTTGCAGATGACACAAAACTCTGTAAAATAATACAATGTGAGCAAGATATTACTTTGCTGCAGAGGGATTTAGGGGATTGGGCACTCAAATGGCAGATGAAATTCAATGTTGAAAAATGCAAAGTTATGCACTTCGGCGTAAAGAATACACAAGCAACGTATACCCTTAAAGGGACACTCCAGGCACCCAGACATTGGAGTGGTCTGAGTGCCAACTCCCACTACTCTTAACCCTGCAAGTGTAATTATTGCAGTTTTTTTATAAACTGCAATAACTACCTTGCAGGGTTAACTCCACCTCTAGTGGCTGTCTAATAGACAGCCACTAGAGGGCACTTCCTGGTTCCTAGCACAGGAAACCTGTGCTAGAGCGTCGCTGGACGTCCTCACGCTGTGTGAGGACCTCCAGCGTCGCTCATTTCCCCATAGGAAAGCATTGAAACGGATTGTTTTCCTGGCACTGGAGTTTCCCTTTAATGGAAGCGAATTAGGGATAACAACACACAAAAAGGACTTGGGAATTGTTATAGACAACAAACTATGCAACAAAGTGCAATGTCAATCAGCAGTGGCCAAGGCCAGTAAGGTATTGTCATGCATGAAAAAGGGCATTCATTCTTGGGACGAGAATATCATTTTGCCTCTTTATAAATCACTGGTAAGACCACATATTGAATATGCTGTGCAATTTTGGGCACCTGTTCTAAAGAAGGATATTATGGCACTAGAAAAAGTGCAGAGGCGGGCTACAAAATTAATAAAAGGAATGGAACATATCAGCTATGAAGAAAGGTTAACAAATTTAAATCTATTTAGTTTAGAAAAACGTCGCCTGAGAGGGGATATGATAACATTATACAAATATATTCGGGGCCAATACAAACCATTGTGTGGAAATCTATTCACAAACCGGACTTTACATAGGACATGAGGTCATGCGTTTAGACTGGAAGAAAGAAGATTTTGTCTAAGGCAAAGGAAAGGTTTTTTTACTGCAAGAACAATAAGGATGTGTAATTCTCTGCCTGAAGAAGTGGTTTTATCCATACAGATGTTCAAACAGCTACTAGATGCATACTTGCAAAAACAGAATATTCAAGGATATAATCTTTCAATGTAGGGCAATAACTGTTTGATCCAAGGATAAATCTGACTACCATTCTGGGGTCAAGAAGAAATTGTTCTCCTAGTTTGTTGCAAAATTGTGCTTCAAACTGGGTTTTTTTTCTTTTGGATCAACAGCAAAAAACAAATGTGAGGAAGGCTGAACTTGATGGACGCAAGTCTCTTTTCAGCTATGTAACTATGTAACTATGTTAATATGTGACAGAGCGACTGAATAGACTAAAGCTGTGACCTCATCAGATGACCGAGGAAGTCTCAAAACTGCAATTACCCATTCAGGCAACAAATTCTGGTTGGGGCAATTTTTTGCCTAGGCATTCGCTTGTACAGGGCGTATAGCCATGTGTCCACGTTTCACCCTGTGAGACTGCTCTCTGCCCTCGGAGGGTATCCGTTAACCTGCATTCTTCACCACCTGCGACAAACTCACTCTGCTGGTAAATGCTTGTCTTGGTTCTTTTAGTTGCACTGCCCTCTTCATCACACTTCTTTCTTGAATGTAAAAGGTATTTAGCCTTCTTGTGTTATAGCACCTCACAGGAGATAAACCAAAACAAATTCTGCTCACTTAATAAAGTGATTCAAAGTGAATTTCCAATTGAATGCCAAAGTAGCCAAAATGAAAGCATAAGTCACTGGGATAATTTTTCTGGTTTGGCAATTTTAACCTTCAGTGTTCTTTCCTATTAGAACCACATTGATCCCTTTTTTATATTGTTTTTGACTCCATGGACCATTTATATTTGGTGGGAAACTGAAAATTTGGTGGGTTAAACATGGGTATATTTTAGTTATTTCAGATTAATTATAGCATACGGATAGATGTGTTATAAAGTTCAGTGTATATGCTAGGCACCTGAGGGGCAGATAAAAAGGCTGCAGTAAATCAATTAATTCAATAAAGAAAAATGAATTAAAACGTTCTTTTTCAGATATTTCTATTCTATATTTTCCCTGATTCTTTTGGCTTCCCGAGTGAATGATTATACAGACAGTCCTCGCATACCGACCGGTTTCCGTTCTCTTGACTTGGTCATAAAACGTATTGGTCGGTAAGTGAGGACGCACTACAGAGCATGTGCACCAGAGCAGGGAATCCCTCTAATATATGTTTGGGGAAAATAGCCCGAACATAGACCAGCTCTCTAGCGTTTGAATTCCTCAAATCCCTGTGCTAGAGAGCTGGTCATAAGTCTGAGCCATTGTTAAATAGGTAAGTCATAAAGTTAGAACTATCTATATGCGATGGACTGAAACAGTCTATATTTTCAAGTATTATTCAGTTGCCTCCTAAATTGTATATAAAAAGCTGCTTTTTCAATTATAAACTTGATTTTCAGTTTTTCAACTTCAACTTTTCCATTTTCTGCATAAGTGTTATTGTTAACTCCAAAAGGATCACTATAGCCTCTTACACTATACTAATAGCACGATTGCTAGCTTTTTACTTTACACTATGTTAAATTGCTAGAGTTAAATTACAGATATGTTAATCACTGTATGTCAGACTGGGCAAAGTCATCCGGAGTATAAGGAAGATTGTCTCATGTTCTCACAGATCTTTCACCCCCATCAGACTATTGTAGAATATCCCTAAATAGATTGATATAAGTTTTAGCAAAGAAAGGGATTAACATATCTTAAGATCATTGTTTATCTGTTATTAAAATGTCTTCTTTTTATTTTGCAGTGCTATACAAAAACACTGAACTTGCTCACCGCTACTTGAGAAAGACCAGTTCTAAGTCCCTCTTTAGTTCAATTAACCATTTCTCCACAAAGGTGTACCGAAAAATGGACTTACTTACAGACAGTGTCAAGTAAGGAAAAAATATGTGAGATGTTGAAGGAACTTTTCCAGTGTGTGTGTGTGTGTGTGTGAACTCAACAATATTTTCCAGATGTCCAAGCAGCAATCATAACAACTGGGCTGTAGTTACCCATTCCTCACAGGACCGATAGCATTGAAAATGTTAAAAAAAAAAACCTAAATGCAGTCCCCACCACCAGTCTCCTCTTCTCCTAGCCTTATTAAGGGCAACTCCTGAGCTCCCCAGTATTTGCTTGTCCTCAAGACAAATCAGGTAACAGAGTTATCTGCCTACTCTAGGCAGAATAGGTTAAGCTCCTCGTATTTTTGTGTTTTGGACAGATGTTGTGAGGGGGCTGCAGCCTCTGGAGGGCTCTATCTGGCTTTTGTGAAGTATTGCTTGGTCTGTGTGCTTGTCCTTCAATTATCATAGGCTGTAGAACACATGACGGGCTCCTGTGTTTAACTCCATTATCAAATCTGCCCAATCAGTGCCGGGTGATGGAAGGTGCATCTGTGCGCACTGCTGTGAGGCTCTGTATTTGGAAAACACACTGGGGTGTTGTTGCATTCCACTTTCGGATCCCAAAATGCTACACACATGTGCAAAGCGATCATGCCGCCAACGTCAATTTTAATTTAAACCAAGCAGTAACTATCTGGCCTCTGTGAGTATGTTAGATTACTTACCAGTGTGCTCTGACCAGCCCTCCAGCCCATTAGAGGCCTATTAAGGTGAGACAAGTGGCTGTAAACTTAACAGTCTTGCTTTCTTTCCTTAATACTGTAAGTTCAGTTTTGGCTATGTGACTGCCAGATACAATTCCCAGATTTTACTAATAACATAACATAACGTCATGATTTTATTAATGACACGGAGGCGAGTATTATGCTTTCTCTTTCTTACTTTATTCCTCAGCAGCAAAGAGAAATATATAACTGAAAGAGAAAAAATGTAAAATATGAATAATATTATAACAGATACAACCAGATCTGCCTAGTAACAGGGCAGCCAATCAGCTTATAGGAACAGTCCATAAATGTCTTGCTTAGTACTTCCACTTCCTCTTCTTTGCCTTCTGAACCGAAGACCCAAACCGAAAAAAATATCCACATCAGGAAAGAACAATCGCCAACAAGGTAGACGTCATCACAACGAAATCAAGCTGTAAAACAGAGAAATAGGAGGTAAAATCCAAACTCCGGATCTGAATGTAACATATCATAACAATTCGGCCTGTATAATCATATACACAAACTATCGGAATAACACATATGTAATAGTAAACAGACTACACCTAATCTCCTAGTATCAAGAGAAACCGAGGATACTTACCGTGAGGTAGAAGATCCCCCCCGATTGAACCATAAACATAAATCCAACCCATACCCAACGGGTGGGTGGGAATAATACTCGCCTCCGTGTCATTAATAAAATCATGACTTTACGTCGTGTTATTAGTAAAATCTGGGAATTTTATTAATGACACGGAGGCTCCTATTATGCTAGTTCAAAGCTGAGCCACAACTAACGAGGAAACATGGTCAATCGGGCGGAAATAAAAATCGCGGAACGTAGATTCACTAGACCAATCCGCTGCTTTCAAGATATCATCCAGCCGACACCCCATCGTAGAAGCTTTTGATGCCATGGCACCTCTGACCGAATGAGCTGAAAATATTGAAGTATCAATCCCTGCAGCGGAAAGGAGATTCTTAACCCAACGAGCTAACGTAGTCGAGGAGACCGGGAGAAAACGGCGTTCTAAAAGAAATAAACAATTGGGACAAATCCAATGACCTCAACTGGTGAGTGTGATCCAAGTACACCCGGAGGCAAGCCACCGGACACAGAGCATGTCGGACTGAACACCTAGGGTAGGCCACCGACTTAGAACCCGTCTTAGTCCTCCTCGAGATGGTAAATGACACTCCCTCGGGGGTGAAGGATATCGTGTTCCAGTCCAAAGCTCTGACATCCAAAACTCTCTTGCATGAAAGGAGACACAGGAGCATAACCAGTTTCCAGGACAATTGCTTCAGCGACAGCTCTTCATTAAGGGGCCACGATTCCAGGAAGCCAAGCACTACGTTAACATCCCAAAACGATGAGTACCTGGATCTCGGAGGCCTAGAAAAATGGATACCCTTCAACAACAGACACACAAAAGGATGTTGTCCAACCGGTGATCTGTCAATTCCTAGATGTCCGGCCGAGATGGCCGACCTATAAACATTAATAGTGCGGTAGGCCAAACCAGATTCAAAAAGTGCGGTCAAAAAACTGGGCAGAAAGCGGATCCAACAGTCTTCCCACGCACCAGCCAGACCACACACGCCATGCAGACTTGTAAGCCGTTCTGGTACCCGGTGCCCAGGCACTCTCCAGGAGTCTTGTAGTAGGTTGCGGAACGTCCGCGACACACCAGGGTCCCCCGAAATCAACCAAGCCTTGAGATGGAGTAGGTCCTTATCCATCAATTCGTGTGAGTTCCCATGCGGATCAAGAAGCACATCCGATCGCATCGTGATCATCCGTGGGAAATCCATAGCCATCTCCAGGAGACGCGGGAACCAAGGCTGAGTCTGCCATAGAGGAACTATTACCACCAACGTGCACACTTGTCTGGCCAAGTACGCCAGTGTCCGAGAGATCAGGTTGAATGGGGGAAACGCAAAGTGATAAACCCCGAGGCCATTTTTGCCAGAATGCATCCACTGCCGCGGTCGATGGGTCCCGTCTCCAACTGAAGTATTGGGGTAGTTGGGAGTTCAGTCTGGACGTGAACAAATCCAGTAGTAACGGGCCCCATAACTGATCTGTCGAAAGGTTGAAGGAAGCAGGTGCCAATCTCCTGAGTCTTTCAAGTAGCGCAAATTCCAATCCGCCCATTCATTGTCCAAGCCCGGAATGTGTTCGGCCGACACTGCGCTGTGGAGGCAAAACTGCCAGAAGTCCTTTGTCAGGTTCGCTAGTTGTTTTGATTTCGTGCCACCCATGTGATTTATATATCTGACCACGGACACATTGTCCATGCGCAGAAGAACGCAGCAGTTTCTGAGAGTTGGAGACAGACTGCGAATGACGAATGATCCCGCCAACAATTCCAGACAGTTTATGTGTAGCTTCGATTTGATTTCGGACCATCTGCCACCTGTGGAGATGTAACGGACCGTTTTGCACACAAGGGGTAAAAACCGTTTAGGCGATCGGCCCCCTTTCCAGAGATACAGGCACAGCTACTGCAGAACACCAAACTCCCGAACTGGATACAAAATAGCACTCCAACTCCCGAACTGTAACCTCCCAAATAGCTGCTAGCAGACGAACAGGAAAAGCTCCCAAACGGCTTACACTCCTGGCAATCAGTCTCTAACAGCATACAGTGAATCCCCCCAAGAACGAGACAAGGCTCCGTGTTGAGGGTCAAGCAGTGGTCTGAGGTGCTGGCACACCCAGCCTGGTTTTTATTACAGTCTTGTAAATACAGGACCGCCCACAGGGAGGTATAAAACAACCAATCACATCACAGTTACATCCCACATATTCCCTCCCCTTATCCTGAGAGGAAACTCAATTATACATACAGTTAAAACATACTTTCTACCCAACTTTCATAACTCCAAAACCATACATCACATTCACATAAAATTACATATTCACAATCAATCCATTCAGGGAACAACATATTCAAAAATGGCACAAATCAGACAAGGGGTTCAAAAGTTAGTAAAAAGTCCTTTGTGACTAAATGAAGCATGGCTTTCTGGCCCAAACCAGTTTTAGAGTCTTCTATCCTGGAGAGTAATTCAATTATCTCCCAGGACAGACACAAGACTCCATTAAGCACATGGTTGCAAAAAGACACAAAACACTTTAAAATACATAAAGTCACCTTTTATACATAAAACACAGACATGTAACATATCCCCAGATAGCTCAGGTCTGAGCGCACATTATTAAGTGAATGGCGCTCAGACCACACGAATACAGTTTAATCGCTATGGAGCCAAAGTCTTTACAGTCAGTTTCATACAAATGGGCTCCATGGGATTCCTATCTGGGGTATAACACATTCAAACAAATCTACTGAACCCCAGGCAGAAAAGCACGACTGAAGCTTTTCTGCAGGTAAAAAAGATGTCTTTTAACAGGGGGCCATAGTCCAAAGGCAGCAGGCGAGCAACCAGGCTTCTCCAATGCAATGTGGCGAGATTGGTCTCGTCCCAGGAGACATTTCCACAGCGAGCGCCCCAACCATGCAGGCTGGCATCCGATTCTATCACCACATCCGGAGCGGTACCAAAGATTGCTCGACCATTCCATGCCTCCATATGGTCCAACCACCACCGTAGTTCCTCCTTGGAATTTCTGTCCAGGCGTAATTCGCTTTCGTACGAACTGCCCGACAGAAGATGGGATCCCTTCAGACTTTGTAGGGCCTGATAATGTAGGGGTCCTGGGAAAATCGCCTGAATCGATGAGGCCAAAAGACCAATGACTCTCGTCAGTTGTCGTACGGAGAGAGAGGTGGTCCGTAGCGCACGTCTTATTTCCTTCTTCATAGCCTTTAACTTGGCCTCTGGAAGGAACGAGAACTGGGCGACCGAATCGACTTCGAAACCCAGAAATTCTATTTTCTGCACCGGGGCCACCCTGGATTTTTCCCAATTTATGAGTAAACCTAAGCTTTCCAGAAGATCCACCATCCAGTTCAGATGCCGGAGAAGTTGGTCGGGAGACGCGGACATAATCAGGATGTCGTCCAGGTAAATAATCATGCGGACTCCCCAAGCCCTGAGGAATGCCACTACTGGTTTCATCACCTTTGTGAAGCACCAGGGAGCTGAAGATAGACCGAAGGGCAGACAGGTAAACCTCCACCGACGTTCTTGCCACGTAAAGTGCAATAAGTCCCAGTGTTCCTCTGCCATTGGTATAGTCAAGTAGGCATCTTTGAGGTCCAGCTTGACCATCCAGTCCCCTTGCCGAAGCAGATCTCTGAGACAATGAATGCCTTCCATCATGAAGTGATGGTAGCGGAGAAATTCGTTGAGGTGTTTGAGATTTATAACCGGTCGAACTCTTCCACCCCTCTTGGCAACGAGGAACAAGTTGCTTATAAAAGTACGGGACTTCCTGTATTGCCCGTTTGGCAAGAAGTTCCGCAATCTCCTTGTTAATCAGCTCAGACTGATCTTCCGGTAATCTTAGTTCCTGTGGTGTACATAAATAAATAAAAGAAAAGAGACAGCGCTAGTTAACTGTGGCAGCAACCTTAAAACCCTATAAAACAAGATAAAGATAAAAAACAATAAAAGGCTGCGCACATATGATAGAGTCCAATAAAAGGAAAGGGAGAGAAAAGGTCCAACTGGTATATTCTTACAGGTGTCCTTGGTTGGCGTGGTCTTCTATTTATATGGTGGTTTCACTCGTTATGAAAAATAAAAAGAGGAAAAAAGGGACATCCAATGGTATAGTATGTAAAATATAGGTATAGATGTAAAATAAATAGTATCAAACTCACATTTACCAGAGCTAATGTCCAGCTCTGGGGTAAAGCGCGTACAGCGGTTTTATCCCCGCTTATGGGATATGGGCAGGTTCTCCTCCGTGGATGGTATCCAATTCTCGGAATAAAATAAACAGCCAATAGTGCTCACTGTATGGCAGATAATAATTAAATAATAAAAGAAATGTACTTACAAAGGAAGAGCAGACCCACTGCTCTTTGATGATAGCTTGGGTGAATTGATCCCCACCTACGGATTTCTTTGGGTACAGGAAACTTCCAGGAATTTTTTAGGTTTCTTTTAAAACCATCAAAATATTTAAAATAACAATAAAAAGGCCAGGGTAAAAAAAAGGAAATAATGTGCGAATAGAAAAGATAATTGGCACAAGCAAATGACCAAAAAATACTTTAATATATATAAAAAACACAATTTAAATATCCATAACGCGTTTCGTCACAAAGGGACTTTATCAAATGGAATAACATGATTTACCTGGCACATAGATGTTATATAGGAACATAATTGTTTGAATTTTGTCGCCAAAACTTAGTTTGACCAATCAGAATTAAAAACATTTGTACGACTTTAAAATGCATAATAACTTATTCAGCATATAATTTATAGTAATACAAATTCATTTAAATATGTATAAGTGTAAAACGAGGGTAAAAAAGGGTAATTTGAGGGTATTGTAAAAAGTCACGTGACCGGCGGCACTTCCGCGTTATGGAAGTACCGCCGCTATGCCTTATGGGGAATGTAGTTCATACACGGCAGCCGTTTTAAAAGTCCTAAAAACGGACTTAGTTGATTCCCCAAATTAAAGTAGTATGGCAGAGTGGTAAAGGAGTAGATAGACAAAGGGGCTAGGACGGGCACAAAGCAATTTTAAACGGTCACGTGATTTTCGGCAATAATAGCCAAAATACCTTATGGGAAATGTAGTAAATTAAACAAAAGCATGAAATCTAGACATCCAAATTAAAGACCTGGCACATATAATACTTATTATCAGAGGTTGGTTGATCAAAATTAGAAGTTAAAAGACTTCAGTTTAAACAAGTCCACTATTCTATTTAAGAAGAGAGAAATATCCAAATTAAAGAGGCAGACTAAATAAAAAACAATAAATAAAAGGGCAGACTGGATAAAAAACAATAATAAAAGGATGTTGTAAGTGAATTTTGTAAAAGCCATAATTTAAAAGAACAGACATAAAAATTCATAAAAAATTATATAAATCAAAATCAGCATTGAGGCCATGGGGTAGAAGAGTCTGAAGTTTATACACCCATTCCATCTCTGTTTTTCCGAGTAGCTTTTTTATATCGCCTCCTCGCCGAGAAGTAGAGCATTTTTTTATCCCAATGCATTTTAGTAAACGAGGGTCCTTATTGTGCATAATAAAATGTTTGGATACTGTATGATTTAGGTATCCATTTTTAATATTTCTGCAATGTTCGCTCAGTCTTATCTTTAAGCACCTTGTGGTCATCCCCACATATTGGAGGCCACATGGGCATTCGAGCAGATAGATCACATTTTTCGTATGGCAGCTTATGAAATCATAAATATCATACACTTTTTTTGTTTGATTTGACATAAATTTTGTAATTTTTGATGAAATAACATGATCCACAGTTTTACATACAATGCATTGTTTGCATCTAAAAAAACCTTTTGTGTTAGGAAAAAATGATACACTTTTTAAAGGAGATTTTCTTGTAAAATTTTTAGTTAAAATCGATTTAAAATTAGGTGCTCCTCTAAAAACAATGTTTGGATGAGTGGGTATGATGGAATTAAGTATCTCGTCATGTTTAAGTATGTGCCAATGTTTTCTTATTATTTTTTTGACATCATTACTTTTATTATTAAAATTAAAAATAACTGGAAGTAGTATAGTGTCGTTGTTTTCTTTATTTTTGTATATTAAAAGATCTTTTCTTTCTTTTTGTTTGACTGTATTAATAGTAATATTCAGATCTGGTTCTGAATAGTTTTTTTCAATAAATTTATTTTTTAAAAACTCTGCTTGTTCATTAAAATCTGTGAGTTCTGAGCAATTTCTGCGAAGGCGTAAAAACTGACTCTTTGGGGCACTTTCTAGCCATGGCTTATAGTGACAGCTAGACCTGTCAATGGCTGTGTTAACGCATACTTTTTTTTAAAAAGTCTTTGTTTGAAGTTTTCCATTATTAATAAAAATATTTAGGTCTAAAAAATTAATGGATTGTTTACTAAATTCGTGTGTGAGAATGATGCCCCTATTGTTAGTATTTAAATAATTGATAAAATCAATGAGATGTTTTTCAGGTCCATCCCAGATAAAAAAAAGGTCATCTATATATCTGAAGTAGGAGACTAGGTTTGCCCGCCAGGTATGATTGCCCCATATGGCTTCATTTTCCCAGTCTGCCATAAACAAATTGGCGTAACTAGGGGCAAACCTAGTCCCCATAGCTGTACCTCTTCTTTGTAAATAAAAAGAGTCTAAAAACCAGAAATAATTGTTTTTTAAAATAATATTGATACCTTCTATTATAAAATCTATTTGAGTGTTAGGAATCCTAGCTTCTTGAATTAAAATTTATTTTATAGCTTGACAGCCAATATCGTGTGGGATAATGGTGTAAAGGGACTGGACATCGCATGTGACTAGTATAAAATTATTTTTCCAGGTAAAATCATTTAAAAATTTTAAAAGTGACATGGAGTCTTTTAAATAGGATTTCATGAGTTTGACCGAAGGTTGAAGAAGTGTATCTATGTATTGAGAAAGATTACTTAAAAGGGAACCAATTCCCGAAACAATAGGTCTTCCTGGAGGGTGTTGTTCATTTTTATGAATTTTGGGAAGAAAATAAATAACCGGGGTAATTGGATATTTTTTGTTTAAAAAATTGTATTCATGTTTATTTAAAATTTTTTGTTCTAGACCCTTATTTAAAAAATTAGATAAAATGGTTTGGATATTTTTAATCGGATCATTTAAAAGTTGTTCGTATACATTGCCATCTTTTAATTGTCTATGGGCTTCATCTACATACATTTTACTGGATTGAATGACTAATCCTCCACCCTTATCAGCTGGTTTAATGACAATGTCGCAATCTTTTTGCAGTTCTTTGATTGCCTGTCTTTCAATATTTGTAAGATTGTTGGGGTCATATTTTTTATATTTAATTTTTTCTAGATCTTTAAGAACAAGTTTCTCAAATAAAATCAAAGGAGCTGATTTAAAATAGGATGGGTAAAATTTAGATTTTTCTCTCAGTTGTGTATTTAAAAAAGGACTATTTGCTGTCTCTGAGGGGGGGATAGAGTAAAAAAGGGGGGTTCCTCATCATTTTTACTTATAAAAAATCTTTTCAATGTAGCCTTTCTAACAAATTTGTTTACATCGAGAAAAGCTTGAAACAAATTAAAAGAGGAAGTAGGAGCGAATTTAAGACCCTTACTTAAAACGGATAATTGTGCGGCTGATAAAACTTTTTGGGAAAGGTTAAAAATGCCATTACAGGAATCAGTAGAGGGCGTTATTGCCTTTCCAATCTTTCTCTTTTGTTCCCTTCTTCCACTTCGTCTTCCTCTAGATTTAAAGTTCTTTTTTGAGAGCGTGATGGGTAAGGTGTCTGAGCTAGTGCAGGTTGGTGAGTACGTATCTCTAAAAAATGATCCTCATTATCAAAGTCAGAATCGACTGATAATAATTGATATCTATTGGTATGATTTGGGATTGTGGGTGATTTTGAGTAATTAGAATACTCACTATGATCATTTGTATATCTGGATCTTTGTGGTTTTGGTGAGAAATTAAAACCAGAGGGGTTGTGATATCTGGGTGATTGAGGTATAGGATTGTGGTTATCGTGAGGGAATTTCCTTTGATTGTACGAGGGTAGTTGGTATGTATTCCTCTTATATTAAATAAGAACTTACCATCTAAAAAAGAAGTACACCTCAGACAACTATCCCTCTAGACCTAATTATCATAATCACATGTATGATAACTCTCACAACAATGTACCTTACCAACCACCTCCCAAATATCACAATTATGCTACACGTAGACCCCATCACCAATCCCCATCCACAAAAAGACCCCAATATACGTCCTCTCACCAAAACTACGCTCCTTCAAAATCACCATACCAATATAAGAGGAATACATACCAGCTACCCTCGTACAATCAAAGGAAATTCCCTCACGATAACCACAATCCTATACCTCAATCACCCAGATATCACAACCCCTCTGGTTTTAATTTCTCACCAAAACCACAAAGATCCAGATATACAAATGATCATAATGAGTATTCTAATTACTCAAAATCACCCACAATCCCAAATCATACCAATAGATATCAATTATTATCAGTCGATTCTGACTTTGATAATGAGGATCATTTTTTTAGAGATACGTACTCACCAACCTGCACTAGCTCAGACACCTTACCCATCACGCTCTCAAAAAAGAACTTTAAATCTAGAGGAAGACGAAGTGGAAGAAGGGAACAAAAGAGAAAGATTGGAAAGGCAATAACACCCTCTACTGATTCCTGTAATGGCATTTTTAACCTTTCCCAAAAAGTTTTATCAGCCGCACAATTATCCGTTTTAAGTAAGGGTCTTAAATTCGCTCCTACTTCCTCTTTTAATTTGTTTCAAGCTTTTCTCGATGTAAACAAATTTGTTAGAAAGGCTACATTGAAAAGATTTTTTATAAGTAAAAATGATGAGGAACCCCCCCTTTTTACTCTATCCCCCCCTCAGAGACAGCAAATAGTCCTTTTTTAAATACACAACTGAGAGAAAAATCTAAATTTTACCCATCCTATTTTAAATCAGCTCCTTTGATTTTATTTGAGAAACTTGTTCTTAAAGATCTAGAAAAAATTAAATATAAAAAATATGACCCCAACAATCTTACAAATATTGAAAGACAGGCAATCAAAGAACTGCAAAAAGATTGCGACATTGTCATTAAACCAGCTGATAAGGGTGGAGGATTAGTCATTCAATCCAGTAAAATGTATGTAGATGAAGCCCATAGACAATTAAAAGATGGCAATGTATACGAACAACTTTTAAATGATCCGATTAAAAATATCCAAACCATTTTATCTAATTTTTTAAATAAGGGTCTAGAACAAAAAATTTTAAATAAACATGAATACAATTTTTTAAACAAAAAATATCCAATTACCCCGGTTATTTATTTTCTTCCCAAAATTCATAAAAATGAACAACACCCTCCAGGAAGACCTATTGTTTCGGGAATTGGTTCCCTTTTAAGTAATCTTTCTCAATACATAGATACACTTCTTCAACCTTCGGTCAAACTCATGAAATCCTATTTAAAAGACTCCATGTCACTTTTAAATGATTTTACCTGGAAAAATAATTTTATACTAGTCACATGCGATGTCCAGTCCCTTTACACCATTATCCCACACGATATTGGCTGTCAAGCTATAAAAGAAATTTTAATTCAAGAAGCTAGGATTCCTAACACTCAAATAGATTTTATAATAGAAGGTATCAATATTATTTTAAAAAACAATTATTTCTGGTTTTTAGACTCTTTTTATTTACAAAGAAGAGGTACAGCTATGGGGACTAGGTTTGCCCCTAGTTACGCCAATTTGTTTATGGCAGACTGGGAAAATGAAGCCATATGGGGCAAACATACCTGGCGGGCAAACCTAGTCTCCTACTTCAGATATATAGATGACCTTTTTTTTATCTGGGATGGACCTGAAAAACATCTCATTGATTTTATCAATTATTTAAATACTAACAATAGGGGCATCATTCTCACACACGAATTTAGTAAACAATCCATTAATTTTTTAGACCTAAATATTTTTATTAATAATGGAAAACTTCAAACAAAGACTTTTTTTTAAAAAGTATGCGTTAATACAGCCATTGACAGGTCTAGCTGTCACTATAAGCCATGGCTAGAAAGTGCCCCAAAGAGTCAGTTTTTACGCCTTCGCAGAAATTGCTCAGAACTCACAGATTTTAATGAACAAGCAGAGTTTTTAAAAAATAAATTTATTGAAAAAAACTATTCAGAACCAGATCTGAATATTACTATTAATACAGTCAAACAAAAAGAAAGAAAAGATCTTTTAATATACAAAAATAAAGAAAACAACGACACTATACTACTTCCAGTTATTTTTAATTTTAATAATAAAAGTAACGATGTCAAAAAAATAATAAGAAAACATTGGCACATACTTAAACATGATGAGATACTTAATTCCATCATACCCACTCATCCAAACATTGTTTTTAGAGGAGCACCTAATTTTAAATCGATTTTAACTAAAAATTTTACAAGAAAATCTCCTTTAAAAAGTGTATCATTTTTTCCTAACACAAAAGGTTTTTTTAGATGCAAACAATGCATTGTATGTAAAACTGTGGATCATGTTATTTCATCAAAAATTACAAAATTTATGTCAAATCAAACAAAAAAAGTGTATGATATTTATGATTTCATAAGCTGCCATACGAAAAATGTGATCTATCTGCTCGAATGCCCATGTGGCCTCCAATATGTGGGGATGACCACAAGGTGCTTAAAGATAAGACTGAGCGAACATTGCAGAAATATTAAAAATGGATACCTAAATCATACAGTATCCAAACATTTTATTATGCACAATAAGGACCCTCGTTTACTAAAATGCATTGGGATAAAAAAATGCTCTACTTCTCGGCGAGGAGGCGATATAAAAAAGCTACTCGGAAAAACAGAGATGGAATGGGTGTATAAACTTCAGACTCTTCTACCCCATGGCCTCAATGCTGATTTTGATTTATATAATTTTTTATGAATTTTTATGTCTGTTCTTTTAAATTATGGCTTTTACAAAATTCACTTACAACATCCTTTTATTATTGTTTTTTATCCAGTCTGCCCTTTTATTTATTGTTTTTTATTTAGTCTGCCTCTTTAATTTGGATACTTCTCTCTTCTTAAATAGAATAGTGGACTTGTTTAAACTGAAGTCTTTTAACTTCTAATTTTGATCAACCAACCTCTGATAATAAGTATTATATGTGCCAGGTCTTTAATTTGGATGTCTAGATTTCATGCTTTTGTTTAATTTACTACATTTCCCATAAGGTATTTTGGCTATTATTGCCGAAAATCACGTGACCGTTTAAAATTGCTTTGTGCCCGTCCTAGCCCCTTTGTCTATCTACTCCTTTACCACTCTGCCATACTACTTTAATTTGGGGAATCAACTAAGTCCGTTTTTAGGACTTTTAAAACGGCTGCCGTGTATGAACTACATTCCCCATAAGGCATAGCGGCGGTACTTCCATAACGCGGAAGTGCCGCCGGTCACGTGACTTTTTACAATACCCTCAAATTACCCTTTTTTACCCTCGTTTTACACTTATACATATTTAAATGAATTTGTATTACTATAAATTATATGCTGAATAAGTTATTATGCATTTTAAAGTCGTACAAATGTTTTTAATTCTGATTGGTCAAACTAAGTTTTGGCGACAAAATTCAAACAATTATGTTCCTATATAACATCTATGTGCCAGGTAAATCATGTTATTCCATTTGATAAAGTCCCTTTGTGACGAAACGCGTTATGGATATTTAAATTGTGTTTTTTATATATATTAAAGTATTTTTTGGTCATTTGCTTGTGCCAATTATCTTTTCTATAGACACATATTATTTCCCTTTTTTTTACCCTGGCCTTTTATTGTTATTTTAAATATTTTGATGGTTTTAAAAGAAACCTAAAAAATTCCTGGAAGTCTCCTGTACCCAAAGAAATCCGTAGGTGGGGATCAATCTACCCAAGCTATCATCAAAGAGCAGTGGGTCTGCTCTTCCTTTGTAAGTACATTTCTTTTATTATTTAATTATTATCTGCCATACAGTGAGCACTATTGGCTGTTTATTTTATTCCGAGAATTGGATACCATCCACGGAGGAGAACCTGCCCATATCCCATAAGCGGGGATAAAACCGCTGTACGCGCTTTACCCCAGAGCTGGACATTAGCTCTGGTAAATGTGAGTTTGATACTATTTATTTTACATCTATACCTATATTTTACATACTATACCATTGGATGTCCCTTTTTTCCTCTTTTTATTTTTCATAACGAGTGAAACCACCATATAAATAGAAGACCCCGCCAACCAAGGACACCTGTAAGAATATACCAGTTGGACTTTTTCTCTCCCTTTCCTTTTATTGGACTCTATCATATGTGCGCAGCCTTTTATTGTTTTTTATCTTTATCCTGTGGTGTACATACCTGGACAGGGGGAGACAACAGATCTAGGCGGAAACCCCTGACCGTATTCAAAACCCACACATCTGTGGTGATCATGCCCCACATATCGATAAACAGTGCCAGTCTGCCACCCACGCTTGAACGGGAAAAAATACATTTGGGGGTACTTTTCATAAGGGCGTCTGTATGAGGGTTAATCATGTCCTCCTCGATTCTGCTACGGTCTCCCACGTGAGGGAAAGAAGGGAGAGGGTTTGTATTCCTGGTAGGCCCGAGAGGCAGCAAAGGAACCTCTGTGAGTCCGTGAGGGACCTCGAGCTCCACGGCCGGACGGGCGGCTCCTATACCTCCCGGCCCCTTGGAAAACCTTTGGGCCAAAAACCCATTTCAAGTTGGACTGGGTTTTATCCAGGGTGGTGAAGGTGCGCACAAAGGAGCCCAGGTCCTTAACAAAGGACTCACCGAAGAGCATACCCTTGGCGGTAGAACCCGGTTCTTTCACCGCTAGATTTACCAATTGTGGCTCAATCTTGAGCAAGATTGCCTTGCGGCGTTCAGCCGACATGGCCGTGTTAGCGTTGCCGAGAAGGCAAATCAGTCTTTGGACCCATCCGATTGCTTTATCGAAATCCATGGGGGTGTCCCCTGCCTTAGCTGCTTCCAAGAGTTCATAAAGCTTGGCAGCAGGCCCCAGGGTGTCTAAAATTATGTGCTGGCAATTATGGAGTGAGAACTCCAGTCCTTTCCTGGGTTTCCAGCCTGTTTTTGCCAGGAACTGTGTAATTTGAGGGTCGACCTCTGGCGTCTTGCATGCCGCATCAGGCACTGAGGGCCTTGGGCATTCAACACGTAATTTACTGCGCCCCTCCTTGGACAGAGGAGTGCGCATACGTAGGGCTAGGTAGTTAGCTATGTGCTTGGGCGGGTCCCATTCCGCTGAGCGGGGATTACGAAGGTCATCAGGATCGAACAGGGGGTAACCCTGAGGATCGCACATGCCTTCCCCTCACCCGGAAGTAGCGCCGAAGTGTCAGACCCCGTCTCAGCGTCGGAACCCCCTTCCTCGTAAGAGGCGTAATCAGGGGCGTCCGAGCACGACTCCCCACTCAGATCTGAGTCAGATCCTTCAGCAACATGGGCACGCACCCTTTTCCACTTTCTGGATGATTTTGCCCGGCCAGCATCTCTCTTGCGCTGTAGCACGCCATCTTGGACGGCCATAGGCACGTTAGTAAGGACAGGTAACACCTGCGTCACATCAGGGGAGACGTGTTTCTTTTTAGCATGCGCCTTGCGGTCCAGCTGAGGCTGAAGTGCAGGCAGAGGGTTGGGCATCACAGAAGGGGCCAGGGGTTGAGTCAACGCCTGCTGAATGGTGTGAGACAGGGATGAAGACACCGACCCCATGGCCGAAGCCAGGGCCCTCTGCATGGTGGAGTCAATGAGGGCCTGGAACTCCTGAAAGGGAGTGAGGCCAATTTCCCCAGTGATAGGTGTTTGCATGGGGTCCATAATGGGGTAACTGGGGCTGTCAGACTCCTCACCTCTAGCCTGCATGATAGGGCAGGTAGGGTGAACCCAAAATCAATAAAAATCTATCTCTATATATATATATATATATATATATATATACACACACACACACACACACACACACACACACACACACACACACACACACACACACACACACTATAAAAATCCCCACAGGGAGGAAATAACGCAAAATAAATAGTAGAAAAGAAAAGGGGGGGAGCACAACTAACACAATAACCTAGGAGGGGTTGAGTAACCCACTGAAATACCTGCAACAGTAATAGAGCGAATGGGAGAGGTAAGCGGGGAGCCGACCTGCCGAGCAGTCCCAGCCAAGTGCTTGCCAATAGAAAAGATGGCCGCCGTGTGCAGAGCGCGCCGCGGGTACCCGGAGCTCCTCCCCCGCCAATGGCCGGGGAGCGCGTGGTACACACGCGGCCGGGAACTCCCTCGCACCAGCGGGTGTGAGGAGACTGATCTGGCCGGCAGATAACGCGGCCGCACACACGCGGCCACGAGGGGAAAAGGAGGGACGATCAGGGAGCAAGAAGCTCCAGGAGACAAAAACTTCCCCTGAGAGCCGCGGATCCCAGCCTGTGCGGCCAAAAGTACAGCACATGCAGGGAAACCGGGCAAAAGGCACAGGGGAAGAAAAAACAAAAAACACCAAATACAAATAACAATCCACAATGCAAATGACTATAAGCATAAACAGAACATCAGTAGTAAATGTAATCAGGGTAAATAACCCTGACAGCCTTAATACAGATCAATTATACAGGAGGTAAAATTATACTTAGCTGGTCTGAGGACAGCAGCAAAGAAAGAGGAAGTGGAAGTACTAAGCAGTACATTTATGGACTGTTCCTATAAGCTGATTGGCTGCCCTGTCACTAGGCAGATCTGGTTGTATCTGTTATAATATTATTCATATTTTAAATCTTTTCTCTTTCAGTTATATATTTCTCTTTGCTGCTGAGGAATAAAGTAAGAAAGAGATAGCATAATAGGAGCCTCCATGTCATTAATAAAATCCACATTAGCCTCTGTTTGTTCCACGATTTTGCCCTACACACAGCGAGGCAATTAAGCAAGGTTCTTTATGCGTACAGAACGCGCAAAAACAGTTGAAATTAGATCTTTAAGGCAAGTACATATTGGTTTATGTTCCAGGAAGCTTGTACACAAATTTTATGCTATTTCCAATGCTGGTTTATCTACTGAAGAAAAGGCTTTACTCTGCATATGCTGGTCTGCGTATTGTATAAAGGCTGGTTTTCTGACAATGCCTGTGAAAGCCAACCTCATTGTGGAACACACGCATGGGTTACTCTGTCTCCAGTGACCAGAAAAGGAATTTACACACAGGTTGTGATTTATTTACTCTACCAGCAAATGCATGCACATTTTATTTATCTTCTGTTTTTTGTAGACTATCCACCTTTATGCAACCTCAATGCCTGTTTGTGTGCAGTGGTCAGACCACTAAAGTGTGTGTGTTTTGCTTTCTTTTCTTTAAACACACTCTAAGATATTTGGTACACTTGTTTCAGTTAAAACACTAATGAGACCTTTAAAGTTTTATATACATACTGGGTGTATGAGAAATGTTCAATTCGAGATATTTCTCCTGAAGATTTAATTACTATTATTTATATAGTGCCAACATATTCTGTAACGCTGTACAATAAGAAAACTAACACAAACCATTCTGACATGTTTTGACATACAGGAATGGCAGATAAAGAGGGCCTTACCCAAACAAGCTTATAACCGAAAATGTTTAGGATTTTCCTTGGACAAAGTAAATTCCTATACAGTTTTACCATTACCATTGTTTTAACTTTGTATGCTGGCAAGCTAAATTACTAGTGGATTTTTATTCTAACCTGTGGGTATCCTCAGTTGTGTCTAAGTATTATCAGATGCCCTGCTACTTATGCAGGAAAGGGTTTAATGAGATAAAATCACTTTAACCCTTGAGATTATAACTCGTATAACATGTGAGATGCAGCATAAAGACAAGAGTAACCCTATAGTGTTAAAAACACTATTTAGGTTCCACCTCCCCTTAAAATGGGTAAAAACTCACCTTTATTCCAACGTTGTGCAGGTCCACCAGTCGCTGTCCCTGTCCTGATCCGCCTAATTGACTGAGATCATTAGAATTAATAATCTCAGCCAATCTAATCATTGACTTGGATTTTGGATTGATTTATGTAATTTCTGATTATCTCAGCCAAGAAGGTGGGGCCAAATGCTGCGCGGGCTAGTCTGCATCTCTTAATAGGGATGCATTGAATCAATGCATCTATATGAGGAATGTTCAGCCTTTCCATGCAGAACGTCATGAAGCACATCTAGTAGACATCTGGGTGACTGATCTGATCGGTGCGATCGGGCACTGTAATGGTATGACCGCACTTATCTGGTACGATCACACTCAGGTGCCGATCGGGCACCATGACAGAGGCTTTCTGATTGGAGCCTCAGACATTCAGAGGAAGTAGACAGGTAGAGTGATCAGGCACCATCTTCCAGAGTTTGGTTTGGTTTAAACCATTCACTAAAAGTTTAACCCCTTAACCTAAGCCCAGGACATCCATGCATTTACTTCTTTGAGATAAAGTAGTTATGGTACCTGAGTGGCACCCAATGCTAGTTCTAATGCTGATATATAAGAACAATTATGTTTTGATAATTAATCATGTTGCTATTTATTTTCCTAGGCAAGGGATACCAGTGAGTAAAATGCAACATGGAAATCCAGAAGATATATTTTTCAATCTGTACAGGTAAATGTGATAATGAAATAAATTCTTCAATTAATTTTTAAAACTTTATGCATGTTTTTACTTACAATGCTAGCCTATATTGCTTTGCTTTACATGTAAATAGGAGCTTTCACATTTAGAAAATGTAAAGATGTTGAATGGTAAAAAAAAAAACTTACCTCCACTGCACTTCTACTTTGGTTGGAGGAAGCCTCTCCTGCTGAAGGAACATATTCACTATTATGGATAATAGACAGAAAGATGGAGCAGAGTACTTGTAAAATAGGAGAAAGAAGGAAAATAAAACATATAGAAAGGAGAGAATTGTTGTTGGCTAATGGTAATAAGTGGGCTACCTAGTTCAGCCTTCCTGCTGGGCATTGCTATAAGGAAGGTAAAAGAATAAAGGAAAGGGAGAAAAAAAAAGGAAGAAAAAATAGAAAAAGGGGAGGGAATTGAGGAGGGAGAGGAGGACAGCTGATGCACAAATGAGAAATCATATTATGAGCAAACAGAGAAACTGTCTAAATATCACCGCAAAAGGAGACCTTAGTTTGTTCCTTACGAAAATCAAACAAAATCTCAAATATTTAGTATCGCAGCATCAGCCTCAAGTATCTCATTACTCACTAGTTAAAGGTAATTGCAATTTACTTTATTGTTTTCTTATTAAACTTTTATAAAGTTATAACATTATAAATATGCATAAAGTAGAAATTAAAAGATAAATGTAAGTACATTATTTATTTATTTTAAACATCCTCCTTTCTGAAAAATATTCCACACTTGCGCAAAAAAATTAAATTGAAAACTGGTGGGCGGTAAGGAAATTTTTCCATCAAGAAAGATGCATTATTGGACGGTAGGTAGAAAAAGGTTGACTACCTCTGGTGTATTGGATGCAGTATGTAGTGTATGGAGTGTGTGCAGTGGGGTTGGATAAGGGCTGTGAGGGATGATCATTTGTTTTTTAAATTTACAATTAGGGTTATTTCCCCCTCTCTGCCTCTTACCTGTGGCCAGGGAGAGATTCCCTTGTGGTCTGGTGGCACAGCATGCTTATCCTCTGAAGTGGGGGTCCAGAGATCTTCCCCATCAGCAGCATGTCCTCTCCTCTAACGAGCCATGTGTTGCCATGGCAATGCTCCACATGAAAACCTAATGCATGCCGGAGTGTTGCCATTGCAACTTGCAGAAATGATTGATGCCCAGCGGGACCAATAGATGGGCTGGCCCTGGGTTGTACTGTATGTAATAATAAAAGAACTGGACATGTTCCTATAATTGCCATAAAAACTCTCCGATTTATAACACTGCAATGATTTTGCTGCACAAAGATAACAGCTCCTGTTTCTATTACCAGATCAGAAGAACACATCATGGAATTTATACAATTTATGGATAGCTCATGGTTTCTCTATGACCAAGAAGCAGTTATTTCAGCATTTGATCTTTCATGCTTCAAGATCATCTGTGATTTGGGAGGTTTGTAATTTGAGAGCCTTATTTTTCTAATCTTGTATCATATTGCCATCTGTGATTTGCGAGGCTTGTGATTAGCGAGTTTTTATTTTTTTATGTCACGGTATAAAGATGGAATCTAAAAGCATGTACATTGCACATAGCGATAAATTAAAATATGAAAGATTGCTGAAGGCCCTGCTCACACAAGCTTATAATCTATGGTAGGCAGACACTGCATGTCTTGCTCAACGACCTTTACTAATGAGGTGACCTGCATTGGATTCTCAAACCAGAGGTTCCCAGTTCTAAAGCAGTACCAATACCACTTCTCTAACCAGCCAATTGCAATGAAATTTATTAAACCCATAGAAAAATACATACCTCCAAAACTTTCCCATTTAGGAGGGACAGTACCAATTTTGGGCCAAAATCCCTTGTCCCTCTTTTCTATCCTGATGCACCCCTTTTCTAGGAGCTCCATTTTGTGTGTGTGTGTGTCTTCATATAAAACAGAGCTCCACAGCAATAAAATTCACAGTAATGTGTTTTTAAACTAAGTGTGTTAGAAATCATACTGTAAAAATAAAATAAATTCTTCTTATTAATTCACTTGTATTGGCATAAATTGTAATTGGTAACTGGGAACTTGCGTAGAGAGGAAGAGTAAAGATAACTAATATGAACATATTTTTTCTCCCACTTTTTCTAATTATCCAACTTGAAAACATACTGCAGGAATGTGTACAGTTTGCATGCTAAAGAAACACAAACAGGGTTATTCACTAAACACTGAATTTGTGTTTTAAATAAAATGGGGACAGAATTTTATATGGTAAGATGCACATTCACAAATTAGCATTGCATATTATTCCTTTTTGCAAGCAAACAATAATTATAGGCCCAAGAGTGTAGGAGTGAATAATAGCATGTCCACCCAACTTGCTTAATCAATAGCTACGAATCGATGTCCATGTCCCCCCCTCCCCCATGTTTTATGTTCTTAGAGCAACCACCAGCGAATCTTTGCTTACTATTTAGAAGATATGTTCCCACTAATGGCATGGAGATCAGGGATATAAGGGAGGTTTTGACTCGCATTGGCTTTTTAAAAAATTATTTTACTTTTAATTGTGGTGCCACATGGTTGCCAGCGCTGCCAGAGAGAAAATTGTTCCAATTTGTAAAATTAGGGCCCTGATCTAAAATATCTGGCCCTGGATTTTAACCATTCAGGTCCACATTTTTGGTCGTCCGTTAACTTTCATTCTGACTTAAATCCAGACTAAATTAAAACTCATTTAGAGCCTGGCTTTAAAAATGTTGACATTGTTAAAGGCATACTCCGGCACCAATAAATGTGTTGCAGAATGCAGCACCGTAAGCCTACCTTTTTAGTCACACCCCCTCACTCCAGAAAAAAACTTACTTGTCACAGTTATACACACAGCTCAGCCACTGACAGTAGTGAATGATTTGAACAGAACTGCTACATAGTTGCCAACATCTGAAAAAAAATTCCAGGGACACTTTGCAGCACAGCTATCAATTACTTACTTGAACATTTACCACACCCACTGCCCCAAAGCTTTACCCACTCTGTCCAACCCACATAATTAATCTCCACCTACTTATCATAGTGCAGATTATAGGGCCTACTAAATAAATCGAGAATTACAGGGAATTAAAATGGAAAATTCAAGTTTAAGGCCAAAGTAGCTGTGTTAGAAAAATTCACCCATCCAGCGGCTCTACTTCAGCCTAGAGTTTGAAATTCTCATCTCAATTTCCTGCAATTCTCTCTTTATTGAGTAGACCTTTATAACACCAAGTTCCCACAACTGACCCTTGGTTTGCGATAGATCATTTGCAGCACAGCATCTATATCAGGCAGGTGCATATTATCACTTTTAAGTGAGTTCGGTATCAGTGGTGACACTGTCAGTACAAGTACAAATATAGAAAGACCTTATGCAGATATGCTTCATTCAGAGAGTTATCTTTAGCATAGAAAAGGGGTCCTGAAACTTTTCAAACAGTTCCCTCGGACACGGTTGGAGGCCGGACTAAGGTTTGAAGTTTTTTTTTAACAAACTCCTATACATACTGAAGAAGACACCTAGACATATACAGACACACAGACATATACTTACATACTTACATAGATACAGACACACACAAGCATAAGGACATACATACATACACACACATACATACATACAAACACACACATACATACATACTGACATACATACAGATGCATACACACACAGAGACACACAGATATACATATACATACATACTGAAATACATACACATACATACAGATAGACATACATACATACTCTTAGATACAAAAAAGGATATGCTTACTATATGATACACTAGAAAAACACACCCTCAGAGAAGTGTACCTCACACACACACTATAAAGAATAAACACAAGGACGTATATATAAAAACCCAAAGGTGATATATACAAATAGAGGGTGGTTGAGAACAATACAACCTGAATATGGCTGAAAATGAACGTGGAATCTATAAAATAGCAAAATACAAAATATAGTGAAGTAAGTTAGGCAAAATTGGATTTGCACGTGGTAGAAAACTTACAAGAAGGGAGTAGTAATCACGTCATCCTGTCATCCTGTCAGGGGTACTTTCCACATTGGAGACCGAATATATATGGCGAGGACTGACAATATCACTTTTTCTTCAGCTCAGGAATAAAATATCCCTTTTTCCTTCAGCTCAGGAACAAAAGAAAAAATATAGATAGTGCAGATTGTATAAAAATAACAAAATTTATTCCAAATATTGCACTTACAAGAAATCAGAAGTATTATGGCCATTACTTCATTATGGAGATATGCTGTCTTACTTCTGATTTCTTGTAAGTGCAATATTTGGAATAAATTTTGTTATTTTTATACAATCTGCACTATCTATATTTTTTCTTTTGTTCCTGAGCTGAAGGAAAAAGGGATATTTTATTCCTGAGCTGAAGAAAAAGTGATATTGTCAGTCCTCGCCATATATATTCGGTCTCCAATGTGGAAAGTACCCCTGACAGGATGACAGGATGACAGGATGACAGGCGTGATTACTACTCCCTTCTTGTAAGTTTTCTACCACGTGCAAATCCAATTTTGCCTAACTTACTTCACTATATTTTGTATTTTGCTATTTTATAGATTCCACGTTCATTTTCAGCCATATTCAGGTTGTATTGTTCTCAACCACCCTCTATTTGTATATATCACCTTTGGGTTTTTATATATACGTCCTTGTGTTTATACATACTCTTAGGTTTGCCACCTGACTGGTATTTTACTGGCACAGTCGGTATGTGAGGCTGCCTGGCCGTGACGGTATTGCAGTAATACCGGCAATACAAATGCAGGTAATTTTCTCATAATAAATGGAGATTACTCTGCAATACCAGCACTTGCCAGTAGGGGTCACTGTGTGTGGAGAGAGGCAGGGATAGGAAGTTACAGAATATCCCTGCCTCTCTCTATTACTCACTGATCCGTGGGGGAGCAGCTACACAGCACAGAGTCCAGACAGCAGCTCTACAGCTCAGGTAAGTGAGGGATGGGGGGAAAGGCAGCAGGGACACATGGGGACACTGAGACACTAAGGGACACATGGTGACACAGACACTAGGGGACACTGAGACACTAGGACACATGGGGAAACACACTGGGAGACCTGGGGACACTGAGACACTTGGGGACACTGGAAAACATGGGGACACTAGAAAACATGGGGACACTGGAAAACATGGGGACACTGAGACACTAGGGGACACTGGGTCACATGGGGATGCTGTGAGACATAGGTACATTGGGAGACTATGTTCCCATGTCCCCCAGCCAGTGTCCCTAGTGTCTCAGTGTCCCCAAGTCTCCCAGTGTCTGTATCCCATGTCTCTCAGTGTGCCTAGTGTCCCCATGTGTCCCTATATGTCCCAGTGTCCCCATGTCTATGTCCACAACTGTCCCCATGTGTCCCCAAATGTCTGTCTCCCAGCCAGTGTCCCCTAGTCTCCCAGTATCCCGTAGTCTCTCAGTGTCTGTGTCCCTAGTGTCTTAGTGTCCCCAAATGTTTCAGTGTCCCCATGTCTCCCAGTGTCTGTGTTCCTAGTGTCTCAGTGTGCCTGGTGTCCTCATGTCTCCCAGTGTCCCTATATGTCCCAGTGTCCACAACTGTCCCCATGTCTCCCAGTGTCCCCAAGTGTCTGTCTCCCAGTGTCCCCTAGTCTCCCAGTGTCTGTGTTCCCATGTCTCTGTGTCCCTAGTGTCTTAGTGTCCCCAAATGTTTGTGCCCCCATGTCTCCCAGTGTCTGTGTCCCTAAATGTCTCTGTGTCCCCATGTCTCTGTGTCCCCGGGTCTCTCAGTGTCCCCAGTATCCTAGTGACATGGGAACACACTGAGACATTGGGACACTGGGAGAAATGGGGACACAGACACTGGGAGACTAGGGGACTGGGCAACATGGGGACACTGACACTGTGATACATAGGAACACTGGGTGACTTGCGAGACTGAGACACTAGGAGACAGGGAGACACTGGGAGCAATCCATCTATACAGCAGAATCAAACTGTGAGAAGTTTGTTGGTGATTTTACAGAATTTTCTCTGCTGTCACTCCTTGTGATTTACATCATGTGATGTCACGCATAACTAATTAATTATACAAATGATTAAGGCTGGTATTTTTTTCCAAGAAAGGTGGCACTCAGGATGTGGGGAAACAGTAGTCTCCATTTAGTACTGTAGATTTGTTCTCGTTGGCATCCATTCTAATTAGGTATAGGAAAGTCATCTCTCATTTGCTGGCAACATAGATGTAAATCATTATGAATTAATTCCAAATGGCACATGAGGAAACAAAATCTCACTTCTAGTCAGCCGTTTGTAATGGCTGCTGAATTTGCTGAACACTGAGATTTGCTGTGATTAACTACTCCACATATTTTTGCTTAAAGGAGCAAGAATCATGTATCATGTATTTCTGACCCTATTATGTTAAAACCACCACCCTGGCCCCTTCTTGCCTCCCTAAAAATAGTAAAATATTACTTGTATTCAAGTCTGCAGCTGCTGTCTCAAAAGTGGTGGTCTGAGCAAATAACAATACTTCCCCATAGGATTGGCTGAGACTGTCAACTAGGCAGAGCTAGCACAAGTCCAACATATCCCCGGCCAATCAGCATCTCCTCATAAAGATAAATTGAATCAATGCATCTCTATGAGGAAAGTTCAGTGTCTGCATGCAGAGGGTGGAGACACTGAATGGCAGTGCTGCAGACTAGGCAGTACTGCCCCAGGAAGCACCTCTAGCAGCCATCTAAGGAGCGGCCAGTGGAGTTATTTTCTCTGAAAAGACAGTGTTTACTGCAAAAAGCATGAATGGAATGCTTCTACTTACCAGAACAAATACAATAATCTGTAGTTGTTCTGGTGACTATAGTGTCCCTTTAAGTTTGGAAGCTTAAGAGGGATGTATGGGAACAAAACTTGTGTGGCTGGCTGACATTAAAATTTGTTTAGGTAATGCAGACGTTGGTCTCTGTGGCATGTCCCCTTTCTTCTACACTCACTACATACACCTTTTCTCTGTCTCAGACTATATACCAGGAACTTCTGCCTGCTAGTAAGAAGGTAAGGAGACAATTGGACCAGCGAGTGCTAGGGGAAAGTCCTTGGAAAGCATGGAGTGAGCGCATTTTTAAACGCATTTATGTCAAGCTCAAGGTGCTGCCTGCATAGTATGCCCTTAGCTGGACAGCCTGCAGAATTGGCAGGCAGCCTGACATGCATTCATGCCAGGCTGACCTTCCAATTCTTTGGACAAACATGCCCCCTTTTTGGCAGGTCTTGTCACGTGATTCGCGCCAGTGGCACACCCTTTTACCCCGCCCATTCACTTCCTGCTTCACTGGACACTGCTGTTAGGGGTTATGGATTTACTTGAAAGATGAAAGCATAAATTAGAGAGAAATTAGCATAGAGTATGTGTTTTCTTATAGCTGCATTCTATGAGTTTCCCTCAAGCACCATCTCCATCAGATACATGACGCTTGGGAGGGAGGACTGTTTTAGTGGTTTTGGTTGATAAGATTCCGTAATTAGGCCCACTGTGCTCTTAATCCGGCCCTGCCTGCATGCCTGTTGCTACCTCTGCATAAGGCTGTAGCTTATCTTGGTAGCTGTGAGTCCTGGGAGCTAATTAATGTTCATATGTGTGATTTTGGTGGGTGGGTTGGTTGGAGATTTGTAAGGGGCCCAGGGTCAGTGCAAGGATTTTTGGCTACACAGGCAAAGATGCATTTTGTCTTTCTTCCCAGCCCCTTTCTGTGGCTCTCTCCCCTCAGCGCATTGTGTGTCTTTTTCCATGCGATATAGACATAGATAGATAGCAACATAACTATACATTCAGTCACCTAGCTATGCAAGCACACAATCAAACAAATACAGGCACACAGCCATACTATCTACACATACAGGTACAATGTCAAACAAACACACACAGACATTCAGACACTGTCATACAGACACAGGCATACAAAGACATACAGACACAGGCTTATAGTCTTACAGATACAATCTTGGGAATGGCACTGGTAGTGGGTTGTAGTGGCTGTAATTGAAACATTAGGGGCTGTAGTAGGGGGTTAGGGGCTATAGTGGGTGGACAGGAGCTGTAATTGGGGGTTTAGGAAATGTAGTGGGGACAGGGGCTGAAGTAGGTTGATGGCTACAATTCGGGCAAGGGGCTGTGGTGTGGGTGATATGGGTGCCATTGGGAGAGAGGGACTGTAGTGGGGATGTTATGGGGTTGTAGTGAGGGTATGGGGTCTGTGGTGGGGGGCATGGGGCTGAGAGGGGGACACAGGGGTTGAGAGGAAGGGGGGCAGGGGTCTAAAGGAAGAGGGACAGGGGTCTGAGGGGTGGGGTTAAAAAAAAAAACTAAAGTGCATTCCCTCTCTGAGGCTTACCTTGGGTCATAGATCTGGGGTCTGTCAGCAGTCAGGGAAGCCTGTGCTCTTCTCCCAGACTCCCCAGCGGTCCTGAGAGAAGAACAGTGGAAGTCACGCCCCCTCATCCTGACCTCATCAGGAGAGGCCGGCCGACTCCACTTGCTGCAGGGAGAGTGAGGTGAGTTTAAAAATCAGAGTCCCCAGCCAGAGACAGGGGATTTGGATTTTTGCACCCTTCTGCTCTGGCGCCCTAAATCGTCCGCTTGTTCCGCCACATGGCCGCGCCGGCCATGAAGGGGCCCCAAGAGTTCTGATGGTATAGATATCATATATGTGAAGGACTGCCATTATGCAGAGTTATGGAGTTTTGATCTAACATTCCTACACCATATTGCAGAGGCATGGAGGCAAGTTGAATGACAAATATTTCACAATGACAAAATAGCAGGTACAATAAGATATGAAGGGCGGGGCTGTCTGGGAAAAAAAAAACAAGGTAGGTAGGACACTAATTTGCTTCTCCTTACTTGGATGGTGAAATCCAACAAGTAATGGGATCTTATACTCAAGCAGTCAAGGTAAGATAAAACTTGTAAAGTGACGGCTTGTTAGCTAAGGAATAAGACTTATACATCATGTACTTGGGCAAGTTGGTGAGTGATGCCAAAGTCCTTTAATCCAAATGTCTTTAAAAATTAACAAATAAGAGAGGTCACTTCCTAAAGGGACTAATGTCATGAAAATAATCCTTGAGGGCATGAACTTTTCTTGGCATTTGGAGGTAAAATACAAAAGGAGAGAGCAATAGTCTCCTGGTCAATATCAGAGGGAGTTCACAAGGGACATTTCAAAGAAAATAAGGATTAAGTTCTGCCTGGGTCTTAGGCAGGTTACAGGTTTGCCCCCTCCCCATTCACTCTTCAAATAGGGATGGTGAATAGGCCCAAGCAAATGAATGGTCCCAGAACCCAAAGCACATCTAAGGTAACCTCATGGTTAATCCTCATCTAGCTGAAAGTTCAGAAACCTTCCTGCCTAGGGAAATTGCAAGAAGAATCAACAGTTTCACAATAACAGCTGTAAATCCATTGCATGTGTATGCTCAAAAGGAGCATATAGCAACACCTTGAGCACTCCGTTAATACTTTTATGTGAGGGAGCTTAATTAATAAAGTTTTTTTTTTTTTAAGTGCCTTGCATTTGCATGAGAAACGTCCAAACACCAGGAAAAACCCTAAAACAAGAGGTATCTCCCTCACACCTAAGATCAGCCAAACTAACAGCTGCATTACATGTGTTCCTGTTAAACGGATGTGTACCAATTACACTGCTCAAATTACAGGCCTAGTGGAGGAATATCAATGATAGGGAGGGCAGAGTGGCCAGAGGGGGCAGGCTGACACTGAATCTGGAACTTAACTAAGGTGTTTTGGGCACCTTAAACTGGGAAGATATATCCCCTCTGGACTTCAAGCCTATCTGTTCACAGGCATCAACACCAAGAATCTTTATAGGCAGCTGTCCATTACAACCTAACTCTCCCTTCCAGAGAATAGGTCAGAACAGGCCAGTAAAAGACAGATGTATCGATCCCTAGAGTGGTAAGGCTAAAGTGAGTATCCCAAGGATAAAGAAATTGGTAAACTAGGCCAAAACAGGGCACATTAGTACAGGAACAGCACGTAAGCAAACCAGATTAAAATCAAGAAAGTTTTAATACAAGAATGTGTTATCAGAGACCACAAAAAACTTCCTAGAGGGGGGTAGAATATAGCATTGTAGAAGCATTGTCCTTCAAGTTGGTGGGTCTTTATCCCATTTGTCATGACTTGATCATTCACTAATGGAAATAAGGAGTATATCTGTTTTTTGATCCATACAGATCAATATAAACTGAACATTCAAGTGTTTGCCTTTTTCATTAGGATGCACAGGGACTTTGGCAAAAGTTTGTGACTCTATGTATCCAACCTCGTCCGTCATTCTCTATGATCTACCAGAGATAATACAAGTCACACAGGAACATTTTATATCAAAAGAGGACAATCGCATTTCTTTTCAGAAAGGTATGATTTAATATTTTACTGCATATGTAAATTTTTGCACAACGGAGTCTGAACGATACCATGTAAAGGAAAACTATTATTTAAAAGGACACTCCTTTGCCCTAATACAAAAACGTGTTTGAAAAATCTTTACTAGGAATATATAGCCCACATGAAAACATGCATGCATTTAATTATGTATTTTTATTGAGGTTATATTTAAAAACAGCTTGCAGATCTTTTCCCTACAGCTTTGCAAGCCCTTCCCCTTCTTCTCCATCCCAGCCATACCTAGATTTCCCATCAGAAGGCTCTCCTCCCTGCTCTAAGCCCTTGCATTGCTGCAAGTTGGGGGCAGAGTCTTCAGTCCCGATGCCAGCTTTTCTGCTGGTTGAGTGGTATACCCGGTGACAAACGCTCCTTTCCACGTACTCTTGCCATGGACTCCTGGATGAGTGTGGAAGCTGGCCTCCCTCCCACCAACTATGGTCCACGTCTGAGACACTGATTGAGAGCTACCCTGCCATTACTAGCTTTCCCTGGGTACCCCTGGTTTGGCACTTTCCCTTCTTGTGAATGGAACCAAACGCTAGCTCTCTGGCAGCTGTTCGCATGAACAAAACCCATGAATAGTCCCAGCAGTACGTAGCTGCGACCTCTATTGAACAAATTTCGGGATGAGGACTTCGTGGGTTCCCGATCACCTCAGTGCGACTTAGCCGCGAATGTTATGGAACTGTTTTTTAGAGGGAAGGTGCCGGAGACTAGGGGGAACAAATGCTACCTGAGAGACAGGCGGAGCAACCCATATTGCGGCCACAGGAGCTCCCGAACGTTGACCAGCGAAAGCACCAAATGCTGGTTCCTGGGAGATATTTAGCTTACTGGTCGTTAACGCAATTATATTCCAGGCCCAGAGATTCCTGGGAGTGGCTTGTGCTTGGGTCTGTGTATAAAAGGCAGAGTTTGGCCCATTAAAATCAGTTGTACTCCCAGAACTATGTGTCTTCTCTTCTCTTGGAGGGGAAGGGCAATAATCACTGCTCAGCACCTTGTTGCAGATCGTGGAGAATTCAGCGGGGAAAGACTGTGTGTCGACCAGTCACTGGGAGGGAATAGAGCTAGTGCCCTACCCGGTTCCAAGATGAAGAGGCTCCAGGAGGACCCCAGTCAAGCCATGGCGACTGGGGCAGAAGCACTTAGGTCTTCCCCTGTTCCAGCTAGGAAGCTGTCCTTGGCAGAGGAACTTAGTCGGGGTACAGAGAGCTCTGCTTTATACTCCTCAGACTCCAGCACCACCAGAAGGCTGTCCTCCCTGCTCTCAAGCTTTGTCACTGCAATTTGAGGGCAGAGGCCATTGGTCCTTTGTCCCGATGCCATCTCTTCTGAGGTTGTACTTTGTCGCTGGGAGGGAGACCAACTACCTCTATTCCCAGTAACTCAATCTGCTGCTAAGGGGGGAGGCAGACAACCTCTACCTCTGCTCCCTGGGTTTCCATGCCCTGAGGTTGGGGATCTGAGCTTGCTGCCTAGCAACCCAGTGATTCAGGTTTGGAGAATATGATTCCTTCCACATTTACCTGACCAATATACTCAGATGTAAGGTATATTAAATCCCCAGTCTCTGGCACCTGCTGCTGTGCAGAGTCAAACAATTGCCTGTAATCCAGTTCAAGCTCCCACTCCATGGTGGCCTGGTGGGTCAAATCAGGTTCCAGGTCAGTTGCTTCTGAGAGATCCAGTAGGTTTTCCCAAATGTCATAAAGCTGGAACCTCTCAGGACTTCCGAATTCAATTTTATCATCAATGGCCTCCCACAATAAGCTAAGGCCATCATAGCCCTCACCCTCTGGAGGGTCATCATCCTCCAGAAATAGGTACTGCAAGACTGCATACCACCTTAAGGCTCAGTAAGAATCATCCAGCCACAATTCTTTTTAGACCAGCTCCTCTAATTGGAAAACCCATTCTGCTAGGGGCTACTCTCCCAAGAATGATGTCCGCAAATCAACTTGATCCCAAAATTGCTGCATAATGGTTGCTAGGGATTCTCCCCGGAGACCGCAAACCTCCTTAAGGACATTGTTCCAGAGTTCCCATCGAATTGTGTCCCGCCGGTCCAGTTTACCCTTTGTTAAGAAAGGGCCATCGTACTGAGAGAGAGCTGCTCGTAGCCTCCCCTGGAATTCCTCCTCGTATGTGGATGCTGCATGGGCATCCGCAGGGGGGCCAGTAGGTGCCGGCCAGTAGGTGGTGCTGTGTATGGAGAGAGACAGGGATAGGAAGCTACATCTTATCCCTGCTTCTCTCTGCTGACTGCATCCGCAGGGGAGCAGCACATGCAGCCAGCAACTCCTAGACTGCAGAGACAACCTACAGATCAGGGAAGTGAGGCATGGGGGGCAGCTTATAGATCATGGATGTAAGGCATGGGGGCAGCCTATAGATCAAGGCAGTGAGGCATGGGGGGCAGCCTATAGATCAGGGATGTGAGGCATGGGGGCAGCCTATAGATCAGGAAGTTAGGCATGGGGGCAGCCTATAGATCAGGGAAGTGAGGCATGGGGGGGCAGCCTATAGATCAGGGAAGTGAGGCATGGGGGGCATCCTATAGATCAGGGAAGTGAGGCATGGGAGGCAGCCTATAGATCAGGAAAGTGAGGGAGGGGAGAGACAGCCTATAGATCAGGTAAGTGAGGGATGTGGGAGGCAGCCTACAGGAAGGGTCAGCAAGGAGCAGGAAGGTAAAGTAAGAGAAGGAACAGGAACAGATATGAGCAGGAAGGGACATCAAGGAGCAGAAAGGGGCATCGAGGAGCTGGAAGGGACAGCAAGGAGCACAAAAGGTAAAGTAGGAGAAGGAGCACAAAGGAACAGAAATGAACAGGAAGGGTCAGCAAGGAGCTGGAAGGTAAAGCAGCACAAAGGTAAAGTAGAAATAGGAGCACAAAGGAACAGAAATGAGCTGAAAGTGGCAGCAAGGAGCTGGAAAGGGCAGTAAGGAGCAGGAAGGGACAAAATGAGCACAAAGGTAAAGTAGGAGAAGGAACAGAAATGAGCAGGAAGGGACATCAAGAAGCAGAAAGGTTCAGCAATGAGCTGGAAGGGGCAGAAGGATAACAGACGTAAAGTAGGAGAACGGGCAGCAAGGAGCAGGAATGGTCTGCAAGGGGCAGCAAGGAGCAGGAAGGATCTGCAAGGAGAAGAAAGGTTCTGCAAGGAGCAGAAAGGAATCAGAAAGAGAAAGGAGCAGAAGAGCGCAAAATAAGCAGAAAGAAGCAGAAAGGTAAAGGAGCAGATGGAGCCAAAGAGGATAGAAGATAGCGTCAGAAGAAAAAGAAGACTGTGTCAAATGAAGGAGAAGAAAAGGAGATTGGAGCAGGACAAGTGAAGTGAACCATCCACTTTATTCTGGACACCACATCATAAGGCTTTGGTACCTGGGCCTAGCAGGGAAACTTTGGACCTTCTAATCTCCCCAGGTAAAAAAAAATATCAGTGTTAATGTGTTCACTTTTTCAGGAAGCACAGAGTGCTGTTGGGTAGGGGTGTCGCTGATTGGCTAGAGCGGTTAGCTGGCACTCAAAGCCAATCAGTAGCTCCCCATTCATAAAAAAGTAAAACCTTTTTATGAACCGGGAAATAGCGATTGGCTTAGCATGTCAGCTGACCACTCTAGCTAATCTGCAGCACCCATGCCTGACGTCAATCTGCACTTCCTGACACTCCGTTTCAAAAGGCGAATACTGCAGAACAACCTGGAGATCTGGAGCTGGAGTAAGCCTTTGGGGTTAAACCATTTGAGAGCGGTTAAACCCATTAAAGGAAAGAGCACACCCAGGGGTTTCCTGGCATGATAGCATTTTCATTTAGATGAAGTTGTTATGGTGACCAGAATGTTCCTTTAATTTTCTTAAAGAAACAGTATAGTGTCAGGAATACAAACATGTATTCCTGACACCATAGTTGTGAAAACGCTATTCACCCTGCCTTTATGTGATAATGACTATGCCCCTTCCCTTTCATGACACTGTCAAAAAGGGACCAAGCATGGATGTCATTAAAATTATGCCCCCCCTGGAAAATTTCCTGTGGATGCCCATGTGCACAGGTGCTAGCTCTATCCATCTCCATGAATTCCAGAAAGTACAGTGGGATCCCAGAATATGCACCGGTGTCCAGGGACATTTCCACAGTCGTTAGGAAGCCATCCCACCACTGCCAACCAATGTAACGGAGCTCCAGTACTCCTTTCATTTACCTCCGCCAAGTCTGCTTCCTTGTAGCTATCAGCGACCCTGGAGCACTTCAGACCCAGTCGCCAAGGCTTGACTGGGATCACTGAGGACCTTTTTCACCCTGGACCAGGCTGCTGTGTTTAAAGCCCTGGACGCACTTTCCATGAGAAGATTTCCACAAGCACCAGTCGACACTTGGTGAAGGTTAAAACAGCAACTAACTTTATAATACATAGCACACATATTTTAAGTCCCCAACAACCTCATTTACATACAGTTGGGTTAATAGAGCACTATAGTACAAGGAAGGGTGGGGTCAGACAATAGCAAGGGCTGAGGGAGAATAACAAAAGTATATAAAATATGCAATAAAAAAGGTAAGGTACCAAAAAATTATTTTTTTGCATAAAAGGCGGCCCTCGATGAGCAGGGGACACTGGATCCGAGGAGAGGCTGGCTCCTTGAGCTGCAGTCCCTTGGAGGAGAGACCTCCGTTATCCCGGTGGAGGCCTACTCCAACGGTGAGCGGGACAGACGGCCACTGTTCCGCTATCCCGCCTAACGGTGCCCATTCAGGGACCTAGGCCCACGCAGAACTGGCCCCGTTCCCCCCCCTCTGGGCCAGGGGGTGATCCCGGCCCTCACCCTGGGGCCCCGACTGCTATAAAGCACCCAGGACAAAAGCGACATCACCACCTCGACCCGCAGCCTCTATTAAAGATGGCGGAGGCCATGTGCGCCAGTGCCTATGAAGAGGTAACCTGCGCAGCTCACAGACATCGCCAGACTTAACACCCGCAGCAGCCAGCCTGGCACACGCATTCCAGTGCCCCAGCATGATGCTCACCTTATGACACTCACAATAAGACACTGGAGCCAGGCGGAGGAGACGGTGTCACAGCCAAGCGTCACACATCATCGGAACATAGCCTGCGACACCCTACTCTTCACACAAACCAGCCTCCCACGCTATATGCCGCAAATCACTCTCGGACAGCCTCAAAGCATCTCCCGATGAAAGCTGCAGGAACCGTGACATATACAAAAGCCCACAGGGAACATCTGCTAATCAGGGACTCATGAGGACACTCCGCTAAAGCGCCCCACTGATTTTAAACAGCATAATATGTATGTAGCGCAACTGTAAATTACTCTGTCAGGATTAGCCAAATGTACTAAGCATACTCATGTGTGGCCACAGGGGCCTAAAGGGTGAATCATATCCTGCATAGTTAAAGCAACCACCCAGCTTCTTACAAGCAGCATGCAACGTCTGCCTATTTTGCTCTACGCTGCAAAGTTTATAGTACTGTTGCATAATACTCGACTCATTATTCTACATCACACCTGAATTGTTAAAGGAACACTATAGTCACCTAAATTACTTTAGCTAAATAAAGCAGTTTTAGGGTATAGATCATTCCCCTGCAATTTCACTGCTCAATTCACTGTCATTTAGGAGTTAAATCACTTTGTTTCTGTTTATGCAGCCCTAGCCACACCTCCCCTGGCTATGATTGACAGAGCCTGCATGAGAAAAAAACTGGTTTCACTTTCAAACAGATGTAATTTACCTTAAATAATTGTATCTCAATCTCTAAATTGAACTTTAATCACATACAGGAGGCTCTTGCAGGGTCTAGCAAGCTATTAACATAACAGGGGATAAGAAAATCTTAATTAAACAGAACTTGAAATAAAGCCTAAACAGGGCTCTCTTTACAGGAAGTGTTTATGGAAGGCTGTGCAAGTCACATGCAGGGAGGTGTGACTAGGGTTCATAAACATAGGGATTTAACTCCTAAATGGCAGAGGATTGAGCAGTGAGCCTGCAGGGGCATGTTCTGTACACCAAAATTGCTTCATTAAGCTAAAGTTGTTCAGGTGACTATAATGTCCCTTTAATCCTGTTAATTCCCCAAAATTTTTGAAACTATGATTCTCATAGCCATTTTTAGTATTGCGGCAGTGCTCAGATATTCTTATTTTTAAGTTTCTAGAAGTCATGCCTACGTATTGGAGGCCACAAGGGCACTTCAATAGGTAGACTACATTTTTGGAATTACATGTAATGAATTCTTTTATGTTATAGGACTTATTTGTGATATTTGACTTGAATTGAGTTATTTTGTTTGGAACTGACTCTTGTGTAGTTTTGCAGACAGTGCCTTTTCTACATTCAAAATAAAATAATTTAAAATTGATTAAATTGGAAGGCTTAGGTGACTTATTTTTAGTAAATTTCTTAGTGAGAAGCGATTTAAAATTAGGGGCACCTCTGAATATGATGTTAGGCTTTTCAGGGATAATTTTATTAAGGACATCGTCTTGCTGTAGGATGTGCCAATGTTTTTGGATTTTTTTTAATGTCTCTGTTTGTGGTTGTAGTTAAATATAATTGGAATGGATGGTATGGTCTTTTTATTAGTGCTCTTGTCTTTATATGTGAGGAGACTATCCCTTTCTTTCGATTTTACTTTTGTTATTATTGCATTTAATTTTTCTTTTGAATAATTTTTATCCATAAATGTATTATTTAGAATAGTTGTTTGTTCTTCAAAATCTTCTGGTTTGGAGCAGTTTCTCTTTAATCTTAAGAATTTGCTTTTTGGGGCACTTTCTAGCCAAGGGGTATAATGGCAACTATTTTGATCAATAACGGTGTTTGTACTAACCTTTAAAAAAAAAAAAAAAAAAAGTCTAGTGTGTACAGTACCATCTTTTACAAAAATATTAAGATCTAAAAAGTTAATTTCTTCTTTACTAAATTCAGTGGTTAAAACGATACCCTTGTCATTATCATTAAGATGTTTAAAAAAAAAAAGAGATAAGAGAACTTTCAGAACCATTCCAGATAAAAATTAAATAATATATAATATAATGGAAATATGAGAACAGGTTTGCATGTTAGCTATGGTCTACCCACACAGCTTCTGTTTCCCAATCTGCCATAATTAGATTGGCATAGCTGGGGGCAAACCTAGTCTATATCACCGTGCCTCTTTCTTTGGAGATAAAAGGAATCTTAAAAACTAAAGACTAAAGAAATTGTTTTTTAACCCCTTCAGGACGGGTGACGGACGAGGTCCGTCACACAGGGGAGACCCTTAACGACGGGTGACGGACCTCGTCCGTCACGCGGTAAAATTAACCCCGGATCGCCGCTATCGCGGCGATCGCGGGGTTAATGGTGCTCCCGGTATGCCTCTGCATTAGAGGCATACCGGGAGCACCCGGTCAAGCTGCCCAGCACATGTGCTCGCTCTGACCGCAAGTCTGAGCGAGCACATGTGTATACTCACCTACCGGCTCCCTGCACTTCCGGGTTCTGTGTGAAGTGCAGGGAGCCGGATCAGTGATGATCCTGCCCCCTGCTGTAAAAAAAAAATAAAGTTTATTTAAAGTCCCCCCCCTTACCCATTTTAATAAAAAATTAACCCCTTCCCTGCCAATTGATCACTGACTACAGTGATCAATTGGCAGGGATTACATTTTACTATGATCTGATTTTTTTTTTTAACCCCTGAGGGTTAATTTTTTTTTTTTTAACCCTCAGGGGTTAAATTAATTAAATTAATTAATTAAATTATTTTTTAATTATATATTTAGATAGCTGGGGTGGGTGGAAGTTAGTGGGGAATTGGGGGATTTGGCGTTAGGCTAACTAGGGGTTAACGTTAAAAAAAGTTTTAAAAGAAACTTTAAAAAGTTAAAAATTAAGCTTAAAAAAATGTTTTAATAACATTTAAGTAAAAAAAACAAAAAAAACACACTTTACCTAGTCCAAATAAAAATTAACCCCTTCCCTGCCAGTCGATCACTGCCTACAGCGATCAAATAGAGATCACAGTATTATACTGTGATCTAATTTTTTTTAACCCCTGAGGATTAACTTTTATTTATTTTTTTAACCCTCAGGGGTTCAATTTATTTAATTAATTAATTTAAATATTTTATAACTATATTTTGCTAGCTGGGGTGGGTGGGAGTTATGGGAAAATGGGGAATTTACTGTTACTGCTGCGTACTGCTAGTTAGGGGTTAACGGTAAAAAAAAAAGCTTAGAAAAATGTTAAATCTGTAAAAAAGTTTTAAGAAAGTTTAGGAAAGTTTAAAAAAAATTTATAAGCAAAACAAAAGTTTAAAAACTAGTTTTTAAAAGTAAAAAAGTTATAAAAAGTAAAAAAATACATTTTAAAAACGCTCATTACCACTACACCTGGAGCAAACTAGAGAAAAAATTATCCCACGCCAAGGTTCAAAATATGCCTTTTGAATTACCCCAGGGTGTATTCTTTAATATATAGTATGTGTTTGTGGGGAAGTTTCAATAACCAACCGTCTAAACTACTCCAAATTGGAACATGGACACAGCGTAAAACTTCAAAGTTAGAAAAAAACTGAATGGCTGCGTCTCAAATGCGCCCCTTCAACATCCACATATACCTGGCAAAGGTACATACGGGGGTATTGCTGTACTCAGCCGACATAGCTGAGCAACATATGAAGTATTATACAGTCATAGCACACATAAGGTTTGCAAAATATGCTGCGCAAACTCACTTTGTATGTCAAAAAGGCAGAAAAAATGCTTATTACCACTACACTTGGTACAAGCTAGCGGAAAAATGATCCCACGCTAAGGTTCAAAATATGCCTTTTGAAATACCCTGGGATGTCTTCTTTAAGAAATGGTATGGCTTTATGGGGAATTTGGATTATATAGCCTGGTAAAATACTCTAAAATGGGACATAGGCACAGCATAAAAATTCAAAGTTTGAAAAAAACTGGAATGGCTGTGTCCCAAATGTGCCCCTCCGATGTCCACACATACCTGGCAAAGGTACATACGGGGGTATTGCTGTACTCAGCCGACATAGCTGAGCAACATATGAAGTATTATACAGTCGTAGCACACATAAGGTTTGCAAAATATACTGTGCAAACTCACTTTGTATGTCAAAAAGGCAGAAAAAACGCTTATTACCACTACATCTGGTACAAGCTAGCGGAAAAATGATCCCACGCTAAGGTTCAAACTATACCTTTTGAAACACCCTGGGGTGTCTACTTTAAGAAATGGTAGGCCTTTGTGGGGTAGTTTGAATTTAAAACCTGCGAAGATGCTTGGAAATTGCACATAGGCCCAGCGTCAAAATTCAAAGTTTGGTAAAAACGGATATGGCTTGGTCTCCTATATGGCACTGTAGCTTCACGAAATAGTGCCAAAGACATTCATATGGGGGTGTCATTTTACTCAGAAGACTTAGCTGAGCATAATTTGGGAGGTTTGAACTTAGTGGCACATATGAAATATACAAAACGCCCAGCAAAAATGCAATCCGTATGTAAAAAATGCACAAAATTATTTTTTACCACATACTTTGGCATATATTGGTGAAAAAATGGGGGCATGTTAAGGCACAATATGCACCTTATAAGATACCCTGGAGTGTCTACTTTTACAAATGGTAGGCCTTTGTGGGGGTTTTTTGAACAGTCAAACTGTTATAATACCCCAAATGGAAGCTAAGGCTCATTAAATCCATCTCTCAAAATTCTACTGTGAATACTGAAAAGGACAGGTATCCTGTATGGCACTGTAACTTCACGAAATAGTGCAAAAGACATACAATGGGGGTGTCATTTTACTCAGCAGATGTAACTGAACACAAAATAAAACTTTGTACAGGAATAGCACACACCAACTTTACAAAATATACACGAGAATTTCTCTGTTATAAGTTTGTGTGCCAAAAACCAAAAAGAACACAATTTTACTCCAATATTTAGCAGAGGTTGGCGGTGAAATGGCTACGTAGAAAGTGTCAAAACAACCTTAGGTAAATAGCCCGTGATGTCTACTTTATATAAATATATACTTTTGTGTGGCAATTTTGTTTTCTTTTATGGCTATTAAGCTTACAAGACAAACATACCAAATTCTAAAATCGCTCCACATTAAAAGTTTATTTTACTCCTTGTGCTTTGTGACCTGTAACTACCAAAAAAAACTTAAAATCCCAGACACATTATATATTCTGTAAATCAGAACAAATAAATAAATTTATTTTTAATTACTTTCCTTAACCTGCACTAATTATGCACACATTATTATTGCAAAAACTGTAAAAAAAAACAATGATTTTCATTTTTTTTGCATTTTTCTGTATTTTTTTTATAATAAGTAAGCATTTATATATATATATGTTATATCAAATTAAAGCCCTTTCTGTCCTTTAAAAAACAGTATATAATATGTGTCGGTGCAATAAATGAGAGAGATGCAAATTGCAGTTGAACGCAAACAGCAAGAAAATGCAAAAATTGCTTGTGTCATTAAGCGTAAGTCAAGCTTCTGAAGCTGTGTCCTTAAGGGGTTAAAATAATTTCTATGCCTTTTTGAATAAAATCAATTTGAATGTCAGGTATCCTATTTTCGTTCTTTAATATTCTGGTGACTGCTTCGCATCCCTTTTGGTGAGGAATAATTGTGTAAAGGGATTGTACATCGCAAGACACCAGAATATAGTTGGGGTGCCATGTAAAATCCTTTTCAAAAACGCAGAAGAGACATGGAATCTTTTAAATATGAATTCATATTTTTAACAGAAGATTGTAGCAAAATATCAATATATTCTGATATTTTAGATAAAATGGAGTCGATCCCTGAAACAATTGGGCGACCAGGACGACAGGTTTCATTTTTGTGTATCTTTTTGGATGCATTTTGTTTAAATAATTATATTCTTGTTTGTTTAGAATATCAAGATCACTTCCTTTGGTTAAATAATTGTTTAAATTTTTTTTTTTATCTGAGGTCTAGGATCATTGGTTAATTTTTCATATACATTTGTATCATTTAATTGTCTAAGAACTTCCTTTATGTACATTTTTTTTGAAAGAATAACAAGACCTCCACCTTTATCTACTGGTTTTATAATGATATCTAGGCATGTGTATGGGGAAAATTTTCGGTTCGGCATTCCGAAATTCGGGACTTTGGCAATTCGGGACGGTTCGGCACTTCGACACTTCGGAACCTCGGCAACTTCGACATTTCGGAACTTTGGAATTTCGGGACTTCGGCACTTCGGGACTTCTTTTGCAGCCACTTAGTAGATAACTCCCTAATTCCCATGGTATTGGGGAGTTATCTACCAAAATGCTGAAAGACCTAAATTGGTCTTTCAGCCACATTTACTAATACTAAGTAAAAATTACTTAATATTAGTAAATTTTGCCCCTACTCACTATACCGCAATTAGGGGCATGTCTTTTAAACAGTGAGCAGCCAGTGGCTGCTCACTGTTAAAAAGTCCCCCCTCCCCAGCCCCCACCTGCGACGCTTTTAAACTAAAGGGGGCTTTAAACTAGAGCGGCGGCTGGGGGCCCTAAATTAGAATGGGGGGGACCTATTGCTCCCCCTGGCCCCAACCCCTGAGCGGTGGGTGGAGGCCCTAAATTAGAATAAGGGAGGAACCTATTGCCCCCCCCTGCCCCCACCCCTGAGCGGCATGTGGGGGTCCTAAAGTAAAATAATGGGGGGACCTATTGTCCTCCCCCCAGCCCCCACCCCTGAGCAGCGGGTGGGGGCCCTAAATTAGAATAAGGGGGGGACCTATTGTCCTCCCCCTGGCCCTCACTCGTGAGCGGCGGGTGGGGACCCTAAATTAGAATAAGAGGGGGGACCTATTGTCCTCCCCCCTTGCCCCCACCCCTGAGCAGCGGGTGGGGGCCCTAAATTAGAATAAGAGGGGGGACCTAATGTCCTCCCCCCTGGCCCGCACCCCTGAGCGGGGGGTGGGGGCCCTAAATACCAATTGGGGGGGGAGACCAAATGTCTTCCCCCCTGGTCCCCACCCCTGCAATTAGGCTCAGAGCACTCTGATTGGTGGGTTTAAGCCAACCAATCAGAGTGCACTGACAGATAAATGAAGAGACTGACAGGTAAGTCTCTACATTTACCTGTCACAGCACTCTGACTGGTTATCTTGAAATCCACCGCTCAGGGGTGGGGGCATGGGGGAGGACAATAGGTCCCCCCCATTATTTTACTTTAGGGCCCCCACCCACCGCTCAGGGGTGGGGGCTGGAGGGGAGGACAATAGGTCCCCCCCTTATTTTACCTTAGGGCCCCCACCTGCCATTCAGGGGTGGGGGCCGGGGGGGCAATAGGTCCCCCCTTCAGGTTAGAAGTCCCCACTCGCGCGGCACGGGTGGGGGCTTGGAAGGGGGGACGTGTTATTTTTTTATTTTTTTTACAGTGAGCAGCAACAGGCTGCTCACTGTTTACCAGACATGCCCCTACTCATGGTATAGCAAGTAGGGGCATAATTTACTAATACTAAGTAATCTTTACTTAGTGTTAGTAAATTTGGCTGAAAGACCAATTCAGGTCTTTCAGCCTTTTAGTAGACAGCTCCCTAATACAGCTCCCTAATACCGAATGTCCGAATTGCCCGAAATTCGTCCGAATTCATATTCGGACCGAAACGAATTGCACATGTCTAATGATATCTTTGTCTGATTGAAATTCCTTAAGAGCCTGTCTTTCTTTGTAATTGAAATTGAGTTTGTCCGACTTCTGTTTTTTAAATTTTATTAAAATCTTTTAAAACGAGCGTCTCAAATACTTCTAGGGGACCTGATTTTGAACTGGAAGGATAAAATTTGGTTTGTGGTTTTAGATTTGTGTTAATAACAGATTAAGTGGTATCAGTAGCGGTTTGCATACATATTTATTCTTGTATTAATGGGGATACATTTGACATACCCTGCACCAATAATGGGCACAGGGTGACCAAAAGGAATCTGGGGACCTACATATAGTGTCTGTCTTCCATCCCAAATGATGGTGACTACCGTCACACCATCATTGGGGATGGAAGACATGTTGTGCCTGTAGACAGTGAAATAGCATAAAGAAGTCAGTAACAAATTAAGGCAAAAAGGGTCATCGAGGTATACAATAATGATATGCCAGACTAGGTCAGGGATAAAAATAATAATAAAGTGTTTAACCAGGAAAGGTACATTCAGATTACTCTGGTTTTCAAGTACGTCCTGGGGATGTTACCTAAGCTGAAGATCCAGGGGTTGTTACTATTACCCAATTTAATGGTACATATTTTATCTACCTCGGAAAGATGAAGGGCTGAGTCAACCCTCCTGGGATTTGAACAGTAGGCAGGAAATGTCAGAACCGAGCTGAGTTAAAAAACAGATAATCAGGCAAGAACACATGCACTATTGGGATAAAAAAGAAACCACAATAGGGAAATGTGTCTGATTGCAACAGAGTTTATATAGGCATAAGTACTGTGGAATAACTAGAGTCATTTTTGTATGCTCAAAATGTATACATGGGTATGCACCATAATGATGCAGCATTGACCACCTCTGATTGTAAGGTCGCATCCAGCGGCAGTACCCCTGGCCCCAACCATGAGTTGCAAGTGGGGGCCCTAAATGACAATAGGGGGAGAGTGCGACAAAACCCTGTATTTCTTTGTTCCAGTTATTTTTCCCTGCGTTTGGTAGATTTATCTACCAAACACCGACCACCACCCTTGCTCATTTAACTTCAAAGAAAACCACAAACTTAAGTGCTTTCTCTGTATAACCTAACAACACGTGCGCTGGAAAACGGCAGCCATCTTGTCTCCTGAAAGCAGGCAGCAGTACTAGGTCGTCGAGTGTCTGGAACTCTAAGTTGGATACTTGACCCCGCGAACGCCTAATTCCTTCCTCGACAAGCCAGGAGAGCTCTATTCGGTAGAATTGTTTGCATGAACCAGGCCAACAATTGCTATCTATGAGCCAGGGGAACCGTTCAGCTTTTGGTTCGTTTTGGAAGTACGTTCGTTCGCACACTTCTGAAATGCTAGAGGCTTGAGTGATTATAGCCCATTCGCATAGTACGCTCTTTCATACTGTCGAACTTCTTCATTCGCATACCCAAACATCAGTCGAGACTTGATGAAGGGTACAACAGGAATATTTTATTATGGCCAGATGGCCCACTTATATACACAGACCCCCAGCATGGGGTCTCCGGCAGTAACATAGTAAACCAATCCCACAACACGCCCAGGAGTCTCTGTGTCTGGGAGATAATTGAGTGTACTTTGCTTAAACAAATTACCTGAACCTGGGACGGCTCTGCATAATGTGAGTGATAGTCTGTTCTGCCCTATCTTAACTGTTTTTATACAGATTACACTATGTTGTATTTTATTTTATGCTTTTAGATACTACCTGATTATACTGACAAGCTCAGGTTGTATTTTTGCATATTTATTACTTTCTCACTTTGTGTGGTTTGATATAAATTTTGTCTTTGTTATTCACGTTTTTATTGTGTTTGGGGAAACACTTTTATATCTTCCACTACTTTTATCTTTATATTCACGAAGCGCCTATACACTAGTTATTTGTTTTTTCTGTATTAAACAAATTAACTCCCAGGCACTAGAGGTACAAAATATAAAACATAAAATACCCAAAGTACATAAAACATACATAGTGTAACGGATCGACGCGTACCCCGACTGGGTACCTCCGTAGAAGGATGCTCCTAGTGTTTCCTGAGGACCCCAAGCACTGCAGCAGACACCATAATCACCGTAGACTCCTTTTAGAGAGTAAAAACAGGAACAAGCTCTTACAAGAGCTTAGCAGTGAATATAGCAAGAGAGTATGCAGAGCATAGCAATCCCTTGTAGCACGTTCCCCCAATAAGAGACGACACTCCAAATTGAGGGTGAAGTAGAACTGACTGTACTGGCACATACAGCCAGGGATGTATTTACCACAAGGCAAAAAAGGCATTTGCCTAGGGGGGCACTTTTAGGGGGGGGGCGCCAAAAAATGCCACCTCAAGCTCCCAATCAAATGTCTTGTTTGCCTCGTGTTCTGGGGCTGTCCACCTTACTGTGAGTGAGTGAGTGAGTGAGTGTAGCTGTCAGTGTGTGTATGTCATTTTATGTGTATCTGAGAGTGTGTGCCTGTCAGTGAGTGGGTGTGTCAGTGTGTGCCTGTCAGTGAAAGTGTGTGTTGGTTAAACAGTGTGTGCCAATGACTGTGTCAGGATCGTATCCTGACAACTATGATTTATCTTCCTTTTGTTTCTGTTCCTTTAAAAAGAAGTTCCAGCTCTCAACCACTAGTGGCCTCCCTAGCCACTAGTCACCTCAGTCCTCATCTGCCTAGGACTAATTACTTGCTTCAGCTAAATAAGGCTGCACCCTGCTCACAACAGGGCCTTTACATTGAAGTTAATGATCTACCTGAAAGACTTCAGTTCCTGGCTCCTGTGAACCTGATCCAGACTTACCTTCTACCCTGCTCCATACCAACCTGCTCCAGATTTGCCTTCAAACCTGCTCCATACCAACCTGCTCCAGACTTGCCTTCAAACCTGCTCCATACCAACCTGCTCCAGATTTGCCTTCAAACCTGCTCCACTCTCACGTATGATTTTGACCTCTGCCTCTATTAGCAGCCTTCCTGTGTTACAAACCTGCGTCTATTAGCAGCCTTCCTGTGTTACAAACCTGCCTCTGTTAACAGCCTTCCTGTGTTACAAACCTGCCTCCAGTCTTCTTCTGTTACCAGCCTGCCTCTGTAACCAGCCTGCCGTTAATACCAAACTGCCTTTGTTTCAAAGCTACCTGGAGATCAGAGACTTTATTTGCAAGTATCCTGTTTAGTGGCATATTGCCTAAAGTCTGTTTTTCCTCAATTTGCATAATATGTCTAAAAGCACAAATAAAGTCTCAAATAACAACCCTGGCATAAGTCTCCTATCTGACCTGCACAAGATCATGAAAGACTGTATGTGTGTGCCAATGACTGTGTATCTGTCAGTGAGTGTATATCAGTGCATGTATCAATGAGGGCATGTGTCTGCCAGTCAAAAAAAATGGCCTTCACACGAATTGGGGGTGCCCGGATTTAGCCGTGCCTAGGGCAGCACAAATCCAAAATACACCACTGCATACAGCCTCTTTTATTCACAATCCACAAACATAGTACTGCCCACAGGGTTTTGAAATACAACCAATCAATCCGTACAATACACACAGACACTCCCACACAAAATCCTCCCCTCTGCCTGTGATATGATTACTGAACACAATGGTTAATATAATTATCACAGGCAGAGAAATACAGTATTATAAAACATATCACAGGGACCCCAAAACATGCAATAACCCCATAAAAATATCCTCGGAACCGGGGGATCTGGGTGAACCACATATCCAAAATTCACCCAGATCCGTTCAGTAGTTTGGAAGATACAGTTTAATGCAGATTCCGCAGAACATATACAGGCTATATGAAAAATAATTACTGTATAATGTGTCCCCTGTTGTATAGTTTAAAACTACTGCACGATGTCTTTGTGCACCAAATACCGGCGAGATGGCACCGTGTAGAAAAGTCCAAACAGTGTCTGTGAGTTAAAATGGCCGCCATCCATTGTTCTCACCATGTGCTTCATCCATTGTTCTCACCATGTGCCTCTGATACATGAAATGGTGGCCACCCAGTAACTCCACAGTATGTCCTCAAATGGTTCTTAAAGGGCCAGCAGCAATACAATATGCCCAAATCAGTTCCTAGAAGGGCAATACCTCCCAGTCACCTTCAGGAGTTCCAAAATGAACCAAGACGAACGGTTTCCCTGGCTCATAGGTAGCAATTGGTCGCTTGGTTTGTGCTAACAATCCTACCGAACAGCACTCTCCTGGCTTGTCGTTGAAGGAAGCAGCATTAGTACCAGATGCCAGTGTTCACGGGGTCGAATGTCCGACTTAGAGTTCCAGACACTCGATGATCAAGTACCACTGCCTGCTTTCAGGAGACAAGATGGCCGCCATTTTTCAGCCACACAGTGAGAGCACTTGTTTGTGGTTTTCTTTGAAGTTAAATGAACCACGGGGGTGGTCGGTAGGTCAATCTACCAAACGCAGGGAGAAATAACTGAGACAAAGAAAAAGGGCCCCCACCCATGAGCGGCAGATGGAGGCCTTAAGTTACAATAGGTGGGGACCTACTTTCCCCCCACTCCTACCTTTGAGCAGCGGTTGGGGGCCAAAGTAACAATGGGGGAGTACCTATTGTCCTATCCCCCCATCCCCCACCCATGAGCAGTGGGTGTGAGCACCTGCCTCACACTTGAGTGGCAGGTGGGGGCCCTAAATGACAGATTTTCTGCTCCAATGTGATTGCATGTGATTTCCTCCTTTGATTTCTCCCTGCTTCCTGTCTATCTGTTTTATCTATCTTTCTATTATCTATATCTATCGATCTATCTACCTATCTCTATTTATATATCTATTTCTATCTTTATCTCACTATCTAGGGGTTAACAGTGGGTAGTGAGGTTGACTGATAGGAACTGGCAGGAGAGTGGTTAACAGTGGGTAGTGAGGTTGGTGGACAGGGGATGGCCGAAGAGAATTTAATGATAGGTAGCGAAGTTGGCTGACAAGGGCTGACAAGGGAGGGGTTAACAGTGGGTATGGAGGGACTGAAAGGGAAGAGGTTAATGGTGGGTAGTAAGGTTGTCTGACAGGGGTGGTTTTAACAGTGGGTAGGTAAGTTGGATGACTGGGACTAGCAGGGAAGGAATTAATAGTGAGAAGTGAGGTTGGCTGACAGGGATTGGAGGGGAATGTATTACTTGCATTACAGGGAGGGAGAGGAGCACATATGGGCTCTAGCTGCAGTGCAGTCTGTGCTGTGCACATTCCTTACACTGCAGGAGACATACCTCTATTTCAACTGGCTGCAAAGGATATGTTTCCTTCAGAGACTGGGAATCAGGAACATGTTGAAATGTGAGAGGGGGTGGCTAAGGAGGCTCGGTTACACTGCTGAAAACAGCAAAATATTTTATAGCACTGCAGGAAAACTACACAGAATTGAAAGAAAATAAACTAACCATGGGTATTTTGAGTTTATTAGCTTTAAAGGACCACTTTAGTCACCCAGACCACTTCAGCTCAATGAAGTGGTCTGGGTGCCAGGTCCCCCAGGTTTTAACCCTTGAGATGTCCCCTGCCTGTTACTCAAATGAGTGTCTTTTCATTTACATTTTGTAGGAGCATTATCAGAGCACACACATACTCTAGACCGGGGCCATCTTAACAGCATAATAGGCCCCTGGGCAAAGCAATGCACAGGGGCCCTGCTTACACAACCACTCACAGGAATACTTACTGGGTCAGTGCTGCGTGGTGTGCAGTACTGCTGTTCAGCGTCTCCATGCTCTGCATGCCTTGAGGGATGCATATTTAACTCATTATTTCTCTTTTCATAGGAAATTTTTTCAAAGATCCTCTTCCAGATGCTGACCTTTTTATTCTCTCTCGTATACTTCATGACTGGGATGACGACACATGTTTGAAGCTCTTAAAAAAAATTTACATGGCTTGCAAACCAGGTACAATATGCAACTGTGCTTGTTTAGTGTGAACATAACATATATGATACTTTAAAGTAAAGTTCAAATTTATGAACACTTTTGAGGCACTGTTAATGTTGGTAAAATTCCTTTATATTCTGCAACATACTTCTCATGGGGAGATCGAATCTAGGATATAGTCAATTGCAGTGGCACAAATATTGATTACTACCCTCTCTAGACACTAATCCCTCTAATATAACAAATTAATCACCTAATAAGAACTTGACACAGAGTTCCAATCTACTTCTTGTCCACTTGATCATTTAGAATGATGAACAATGACCGGTCTTGGTTTCACATGGGAGTCGAAAGTCAAAACCACTTGGTTTGCCTTGTATACAAGGCTTTCGACTACCATGTGAAACCAAGACCTGTCATTGCTCATTATATCACAACTGGGTATATATTAACTAACTAACACACATAATTTACAGTCTTTTATACTTGAACACATTTGCCACATCTAAAATTATGGCAACCAGTGTCAAATGAGTTATTGTGAATCTGATAATCTTTAAAAGACTGTGGTAAGAAAGCAATGCTTTGTAAATGCTTTGTAAAACCTATAATTAGCAATCTTAGGTTCTAATAATAAAAGTTGCCAATGTTGTTTCATTCCCTTACTATATGGGCTTGTTGTAAAAATTGAGAAATTGTTTGTGTGACTTGTTTTATTTGTCTCCTTAATAATAAAAATATTTCATATGGATTAGTTCAAGGTACCCTTTGTATAACAATCTATTTAATAAATCAGGGCTTTCCAAACTCTTACGGTCCGAGACCCACTTTTGAAAACGATGATTTTTCGAGACCCACTCGCTTTTAATGCATATTTTCAAAATGAATAAAATTGGCACACCATGGCAGCTTTAGAGGCAAAAAACTGACACACCATGGCAATCGGCTTTAGAGGCATAAATTGTCACTATGGAAATCAATTTTAGAGGCATACAACTGGCACACTATGGAAATCAGCTTTAGAGGTATAAAATTGGCACACCATGGCAATCCGCTTTAGAGGCATACAATTGGCATACCATGGCAATCCGCTTTAGATGGATAAAATTATCACACCATGGCAATTGGTTTTAGATGCATAACATTGGCACACCATGGCAATCAGCTTTAGAGGCATACAATTGGCACACCATGGCAATCATTTTTAGATGCATAAAATTGCCACATCCTGGCAGCTTTAGATGCATAACATTAGCACACCATGGCAAGCAATTTTAGAGGCAAAAAACTGGCACACCATGGCAATCCGCTCTTAGATAAAATCATCACACAATGGCAGTCGGTTTTAGAGGCATAAAATTGGCACATCAAGGCAGTTTTAGATGCATAAATGTGGCATATCATGGAAGATTTAGAGGCATAATTTTGGTATATCATGGCAGTTTTAGAGGCATAATTTTGGCATATCATGGCAGTTTTAGAGGCAGAAACGTGGCATGTCATGGCAGTTTTAGAGGCATAATTCTGGGATCTCATGGTAGTTTAGAGTAATAATTTTGGAATATCATGACAATCAGTTTTATAGGCATAAAACCTGAGAGGGACAGGTGACAGTGTGGGGGGGGAGGTGAGGGTGACAGTGTAGTTACAGACTCAGAAGTGCTGAGTCCCTCTCTTTCTCATATTGAGTATCCTAGTGGTAGATCCAACATGGGATCTACCATTTTCCCATAGTTGCAGGGTTGTATTTGTGAGCAGTGTTTGAACATTTGAATGTAAGCATATTTTTGTATGAAGTATGTGTGTAAATTTAGGTGTTTGAATATAGGTGTGCATTTGTGTGTAGTGTATGTAGGTGTGCATGTAGGTTTAGTGCATTTGTGTGTAGTGTAGTGTATACACACTGAAACACACCTTGCCTGTGTATCGTCGCCATATGGGTATCCGGAACCTTGGACAAAACCCCCACATACCTCCCCCAATAAAACACGGACACTAGGGTATATGGGTAAAATTGTCCACAGCTTTATTAAATATATAAATAATAACTTAACATAGAAACTGGTCATTGCCCTATGCCCCGCTTTTGCTTCCGTATCCTTCCGTTAGGTATAAAAGGTAATGACCTCACTATAAATAATATATATATATATATATATATATATATATATATATATATATATATATATATATAACATTATACCAACATAAACATCACTTTAAGTGCCAACAATTTATTATAAATTAACCATGGTAGGAGTATACCCGAGGTTCTGAGCCACCGACAGGACTCGAAACCTACCAAACATGCCAATAACCATTTACATAACCTTGCTAATGGGGAGCCTATTTCCTCTCCTTGAGCTCCCTGTCCTGCCATGAGCTCAGACCTTGAACCCTTAAGCCGTCTGAGCTCCCCCACCCAGAAGAAACAGTGCTTTCTGTTCTGCAGTCCTTCCTGCCAACCCAGGTGGTCCCACCCCAATGCGGAGAGATTAACTCCATCCGAGTGATAGAACCGGGCAACCTCACTGCCAATTCCCGATGTCTTACTACCAACCCACCTCCCGCCTGGGCACCATCTCGGACCAGACCACCATTACCCCGGGAAGCATATCCCTCATTCTATTAAGGTCCTGCTTCATCCATTTATCCAACTGATGCTGCGGTATCAGGCACAAATCATTCCCCCCTACATGGAGAACTAGAAAGTCTGGCCTACCTCCACCTGCTACCATGCAAACAACTGCATTACATACATCTCCCCAACAAAATCCCCTATAACCAAACCATCGAAGTGCCAACTGCTGCCCCTGAACTCGAGCTGCGGCTCTCCTCTTGGCCCAGAACACGAATGAATGCCTGCCGATCCAGATGACTTTTCCTAGGGAAACAAACAGAAACATCACCACCAACTCCCATCACACCCAGATCAACCCCACCCCGTCTCAATCCAACATACCTAAATGCACGTATGACTGGAACCTGACTGATTCCAATCTCCCAATCCGCTTGACCAAAGCCTCCCCCAAGCTCAAACGTGTGGCTTCAGTAGCCGCCCCGATTCGGAAAGAATGTGTCCCAAAAGGCTTGTAACCCCAACATTACCAGTCCCAACCGAAAAACCTTGGAAAACTGAAAGCGAGAAAGGGATGAACCATCCGCATGCACCAGGAACGACCTCCCAACCGCGGGCCTCCTAGCCATATACTGCGACACCGCGGTCATTGGACATAATGCAGAGTCCAGCCGGGCACCCAGTGTCACCTCCCTACCCCTGCCCCTGACATCGGTCTTGGACCTGGCCAGGTGAACCACGAGCCTCCCGTCTAGCATGCGTAACCCAGACACCTGAATACCCCCATCAGCCACCCGATTAGCACTTACCAATTCCCAGATCCTGAACGCGCCAAATAAGGCCAGAAGAAACGCCGCCCTAAACAGCAGCCCTTCAAACTCGTCAAAACATACCTTGGGTAACATCCCCAGAAGACCCCCTTACACGTTCACAGACACAGGCTTCCAAGCATCAGGCACCCGTTGACTCTTCGGTACCCCTTAAGCGCCTGGCGATTCACGAAGTTCTTCGTGAGATCATCCCACTTGTGTAATTTAAATTAAAACACCAGGGCCGCCATGTTCCTATCTACCACTGCCGGGGAAGGATTCCCAGCTAGCAATAGAAATGTAAACCAGAGTAATGCGTCTAGTTGCGACTGCCCTGCCAGCGCCTGATCTAACCCAGCCCACGAGCTTTCCCATTCCATCCAGACCTGTATGCAGCCCAGGTGCCCGGTGCCACTGAGGCTCACACGTATCTCCCAAGTAGGGTGCTCCGAGCTGCCACATCTCGTCCGGGCACGCCTGCCCTACCTCCTGTACTCCAGGTGCCACCATCCGAATCCGGGACCACTGCAAACAAGATAAAGCATCAACTACCATGTTCAAATATCCCGACACATGCCTTGCACAGAAAACCACATTGAGCGACATGCAAAGCAAAACAAAGCACTGCAACAAACGTACCACCGGCTTCGATGATGCCAACAGATTGTTAACCGTGTGCACCACAGCCATGTTATCCGAGAAGAAGACTATCTTACGGTTCTGTCGCTTATCACCCTATAGCGCCAGTGCAACTACCAAGGAAAAAAAAACTCCAAAAAGGCCAGGTTATGGATGAGGGTGCTCTCACCCCACTCTGCCGGCCACTGCTCCGCGCACCAGAGGCCACCAAAATAAGCTCTGAAGTCCACGCTACCCAAAGCATCCGTGAAGAGCTTGAGCTCCTTCATTGAGACCCCGCCTTCCGAAAGAACACCGTACCATTAAAATGCCCGGCCTTCTTAACCAGTTCGACCGCCTGGTCGAATGATGCGTAGGAGACCGAGCACAGTGTCATCAATGTCGTCGTTCAACGACTCCCCTTTCGTGTAGGAGAGGTGGTGAATGAGCCAAAATTTCTCAGGCTCTTTCTTCGGAACCACCCCTAGAGGTGACACCCTTAAGTTAGCTAGAGGCAACATGACAAAAGGGGACCACCATCCTGCCCAACTGCACCTCCTTCGCCAGCTTCTCCTGCACCACCTCCGGGAACTCCGCCACCTACCGCAGATTGCACAGCCCCTGTGACCCCTCCCTTTCCCAGAAAGGAATGAAAAAACCCAATTCAAAACCCTCACAAAGCAAGTTGGCCGTCACCTGAATACCATTGCGGCTTAGGGGAATCTTGGGGACCCTGAGACACTGTGAGACATGGGGAAACTAGGGGACCCTGAAACACTATGGGAGACATGTGGGGACTCGGAGACATGGGGACACTGGGGACACTAGTGGACATTGAGACACTAGGGGACACTGGGATATATTGACACATGGGGCCACTGGGAGACATGGGGACAGTAGTGGAAACTGGGACATTGAGACACTAGGGGACACTGGGATATATTGAGACACATGGGGACACTGAGACACATGGGGAAACTAGGAGACATGGGGACACTACAGGACACTGTGAGATGTGGGGACACTAATGGACACTGGGAGACATGGGGACACTGGGAGACATGAAGACACTGCACTGTGAGACAGTTAGACAGTGGGAGCAATCACTCTACAGCAGAATTAAACTGTAAGTAGTTTTTTGGTGATTTTAAAGAATTTTACTTTATGTCACTCTTTGTGATTTACATCTTGTGATGTCATGCATGCATTATTAATTATGCAAATTAGGGTGGCCGGTGTTTTTTTTCCAAGAAAGGTGGCAACCCTAATTGTATGTCAGATTGTGTGTGTGATTTCTGGGATATTACACATGGTGTGCGGGTGTCCGGGAACCACATTAAATATGCAGGAGTCACCCAGACCTATAGATTTTCCTGAAGGGGAAGATAAGACCCACACTTATATAAGCTTCTTTTCAGCTTATAGTGTGACCTTATGTAATGTAAACTTTTGCAGGCCTCCCAACTGTTCTCATTTTGGCAAGACAGTCCCAATTTTTGTAATCCTGTCCTGATTTTGTTCCCTGGTGTCACAGCAGGAACTATCCCTGATCAGAATAGCACAAGCGCATCATTAGACACACTCTCGCTTTTCTAAAGGCGTTGGGAAACTGCAAAGATCACTGAAACAGTATTCCATGCGTGGTCTGCCCTTGGTTAGCAGGCCTACTTGATTGACAGGCTGACTGGTGTGTATTATTGTCAGAAACAATAGAAAATTAGAAAATTAGAGGGAAATGTTTCTATGTTAATCAATAATAATTTGTATAACCCAGACACTGATTAGGAATGATTAACTCTATAACCAAAGTGTCCAAACCTGTATCCAAATGTATTCCTAACATTTTAGTGTCCTTGTCCCTAGTTATAAAGTCAGTGTCATCATCCCCCCACCCCTCTTGCCCTATAAGTATTTAAACAAAGGTTTTTAAATACTTTATTCCAGCGCCAAAGTTCCCTCAGTCCTGCTTACTTTTCTGCATCCCACAATGTTATGGAGCAGGCATGACCTCCTCAGGCATGGTCCAATCCATACTCCTCATAACGGAGCAATGGGAAAGTGCAACATATTTTATTCAGCAGTGCAAAATAAGTGCCTCTATTGACTGTCAGGTAGAAAGCCACAAGAGTTGGACCTAGCCCTTAATTGTTAAACTTGCAGGACCACTGTACCCAGGCATTGGAATAAAGTGGTCTGGGTGTCTTTAGTGTTCCTTTAACAATATCCACTTATTAACGCAGAATAGCAAACTTTTTAGGCTTTAGATACAATACCAGCAGCGTTATAGCAAATGTCTCAAAGGAGCAGCTGTACTCATAAAACCATTAATTTACATTCTGCACCAGAGACTTGTGAGTGGCCCAGCCTTGCAATATATTTATATTCCAAAGCTGGGCCACTCACAAATTTATATATTTATTTATATTTGCAAACGCTTGTAATTTTATGTTTTTATTTTTTTTAATCCAGGTGGTGGGATACTTATCATTGAAATGATCCTAAATGAAGATCGGACTGGCCCACTTATAGCCCATTTGAATAGCATTTTGATGTTAGCAATAACAGATGGAAAAGAGAGAACACTCTCTGCATTTAAAACTCTTCTTGAAACTGCTGGATTTAAAGATATTCAATTGGGTACAAATGGAAAAATAATGGAAGCCATCCTTGCTAGAAAGTGAAATGTGAAATTTGATACAATATATGCAAAATGAATTTAACACTCATTATTTAGTTTATGGTATCTGCAACCCTGTATGGGTGAAATGTAAAATTTTCAGAAAACACGATTTAAAACTATTCTTTTTTATAAAACTATTATAAAGAACCCTTATGAAAATATATAGATCCTAATATGGTTTATTGTTATGTTAGACAATTTGGACCTGTTATGGCCATTTTGCATGCTAGGAAGCTATATTTATAATTCTACTACTCTGAGAACATTAACAAACACAAATAGGTTTTCAAGTGAAATTACTAAATGTTAAATCATGTGGAGTCATATTTTAACTGACTATGCACACTACATACCCTTATATAACTTCAGATAAACTTATTTTATGCCTTTTGTCTTATACCCATCTGCCACAACACTACTACTACTACTACTACTTCTGCAGTGCATCATAATATTAAGGCTTACAATTAGTCATAAGCAAACTATAAGAATAAACTGTAAATTAAGTGATATTTCATAGATACCATTAAAATAGATTTATCTAAAGATAGAGCATGTTTGCAGTGCAGTGTGATACGTTTGCAGTGATACAATAATAAACATATAAGAGTATTAAGCATTTATCTAGTGATTAGCGATTAAGGGGTTAAGCATTATACAGCATCCATAATTTGGCAACAATAACATATGGTATATGTCAGAACTTTGAAAGATAATTTACTAACGAATGAATTGTTAGTATTATTTTGAGATCTGTGGAAACTTTTAAATCCTGTACTTTTATCAATAAATTGTCAAATTGCACCAGAAACTGTTTGTCAGTTTGATTATTCTTCCAAAGGTCTGGTCAGGAAAGAATCTATAACACATTTTTTTTTTTATCATCATTTGAAGACTGTTACTATTTCATACCATCACCACAACCTGGCTCCTAACATTCCTGTGCTAGTATGGAATATCTTTCATATGTATCATTTGCAAATCCACAAAGTCTGTCATGAGTGTGTGGTTCCAATTTGATATAGGTTCTTTAAAGACTGGCCTGGTATGATGGCATTATTGTGTAACATCCTAAATCATTTAACTTGCAATATTACATGTTATCCTAAAAATAGTGGGCTTTAAATCCTGCTTTTTTTGGTGTGAGCAGATTGTGCAACATAAGGACACATTTTTATTCCAGAAGTTTGGTGCTTAAGGGGTTAAATACCTGCTCAACTGATACCTGGGTTGCCCTTTGCTAGAACTTGTGGGTCCAAGTACACCAATTCGGTATGAGTGATGTCACATCTAATTAAAATAATGTAGACTAATGTCTGCATATTCAATATTACACACATGTATTGATACAGACACACACATATACATACTGATATACACACACAGTATATACTTAGACACACAAACACACTGGTGCACAGAGTCACAGACTGGCACACACTAGGGATGTGCATGATCAAAAAAATTTGTGTAAGAAAAAAAATTGGGGTGGTTGTGTGTTTGGAGGGGAGACTGTGTGCATGGGGGTGACTGTGTAAAAACAGTTTGCTGTGTGTGGTCTGTATGGAGAACTGCTTGTGGTCTTGATACATGCATTGTGTTTTTGGCAAGGCAGTGTGTTGTGTGTGTGTGTGTGTGTGTGTGTGTAAGAGGGTGATGATGAAGGGTGACTGTGTGTGCATGGGGTGAAGGTGTGTGTTTGGGAGTGACTATATGTGTGTGTGGGGGGGTTGCCTATGGAAGTATGAGGACGACTGTGTACGTATGGGGGTGGATATGTGTGTATTAGGGTGAATGTCTGGATCGGACTGTATAGCAATTAATTGTGGTGGGTTGTGTGTATTGCTTGTAATCCTGACGTGTGAATAGTTTTTGGCAAGGCTGTGTTGAGGGTGACTGTGTGAGTGTGTGAGAGAGAGAGTATATGAGTGTTACTGTGTACTTGGGTGACTGTGTGCATGGAGGTGATTGCAAACATGGAGGTAACTGTGTGTGAGTGATTATTTGTGGGGGTGACTGTGGAGGAGATGATTGTGCTGGGTTTCTGTAGGGGTAAAAATGTATATATAAAATATATATATTCTATTTTTGCCTTGTTACTTTTTATGCGGGGAGGGAGCAATGCTCCCTGATGGTCCAGGTAAGGTCCCCTGTGGTTCGCTAGGGCTTGAAAGTTTCTCCCTGGTAGTTTAGTGGCGATGTGTTGCATATCTGCACCTCTAGCTGAGTGCAGGCTTCTGTGAAAGCTCCTTTCCAATCCATTACTATTATACAAAAGAAATTACATAAACAGACATACTTGTATACATCCAGGGATACACCGATGCACAGACACACTCACTTGCATATCCATGCAAAGATTAACACAAACAAATAATTTACACTAAGGACATTTTCCCAACATATTTCATTTATTTATAAAATATTTTTGCCAGGATGGATACATTGAGATTTCTCTAATTTTCAAGTATGTCCTGGTTCCACAAAACATTGCATTGTTACAACAGGGTACAATAAAATACAAAAACAATTTTAATACACAACATATATACAAAATGTAAAGGATCACTATAGTGTCAGGAAAACTAAGCGGTTTTCCTGACACTATAGTGCCCGAGGGTGCCCCACCCTCAGGGTCCCCCTCCCGTGGCGCTGAAGGGGTTAAAACCCCTTCAGCAGCTTACCTTTTTCCAGCACCGGGGTCCCTTGGCGCTGGTGACCTCTCCTCCCCCGCTGACGTCAGCTCCCTCTGCCAACGTCAGCGAAGCCGAATGCACATGCGCGGCAAGTGCCGCGCGCGCATTCAACGTGTCCACAGGAAAGCATTTTTCAATGCTTTCCTATGGACCTTCGGCATGATGGAGGCATTAAATGCCTCCAGCATCGAAGATGCGCCTCTATTGGCTGTCTGGAAGACAGCCACTAGAGGCTGGCTTAACCCTGCAATGTAAACATAGCAGTTTCTCTGAAACTGCTATGTTTTCATCTGCATGGTTAAAACCTGAGGGACCTGGCACCCAGACCACTTCATTGAGCTGAAGTGGTCTGGGTGACTATAGTGTCCCTTTAACATAGAACAGGAAAGAAATATTCCATAATCCTTTACATATAGTATTATTATTATTATTTTATTATTTATATAGCACCATCAGATTCCGTAGCGCTGTACAATGGGTGGACTAAAAGACATGTACAGTGCCTTGCAAAAGTATTCACCCCCCTTGACTTTTTACCTATTTTGTTACATTACAACCTTAAGTTCAATGTTTTATTAATCTGAATTTTATGTGATGGATCAGAACACAATAGTCTGGTGACAAGTTGGTGAAGTGAAATGAGAAAAATATATACATAAAACTATTTTTTAGAAATAGAAAACAGAAAATTGGCATGTGCATATGTATTCACCTCCTTTGTTATAAAGCCCATAAAAAGCTCTGGTGCAACCAATTACCTTCAGAAGTCACATAATTAGTGAAATGATGTCCACCTGTGTGCAATTTAAGTGTCACATGATCTGTTATTACATATACACACCTTTTTTGAAAGGCCCCAGAGGCTGCAACACCTAAGCAAGTGGCACCACTAACTAAACACTGCCATGAAGACCAAGGAATTCTCCAAACAAGTAAGGGACAATGTTGTTGAGAAGTATAAGTCAGGGTTAGGTTATAAAAAAATATCCAAATCTTTGATGATCCCCAGGAGCACCATCAAATCTATCATATCCAAATGGAGAACATGGCACAACAGCAAACCTGCCAAGAGACGGCCGCCCACCAAAACTCACAGACCGGGCAAGAAGGGTATTAATCAGAGAGGCAGCACAGAGACCTAAGGTCTCAAACGCTGGAGGAACTGCAGTGTTCCACAGCAGAGACTGGAGTATCTGTACATAGGACGACAATAAGCAAAATGGCACGTTTTGAGTTTGCGAAAAGGCATGTGGGAGACTCCCAAAATGTAGGAGGAAGGTGCTCTGGTCTGATGAGACTAAAATTGAACTTTTTGTCCATCAAAGAAAACGCTATGTCTGACGCAAACCCAACACATCACATCACCCAAAGAACACCATCCCCACAGTGAAACATGGTGGTGGCAGCAAAATGCTGTGGGGATGTTTTTCAGCAGCCAGGAAGGGAAAATGGTCAGAGTTGAGGGAAAGATGGATGGTGCTGAATACAGGGATATTCTTGAGCAAAACCTGTATCACTCTGTGCGTGATTTGAGGCTAGGACAGGGGTTCACCTTCCAGCAGGACAATGACCCCAAACACACTGTTAAAATAACACTTGAGTGGTTTAAGGGGAAACATGTAAATGTGTTGTAATGGCCTAGTCAAAGCCCAGACCTCAATCCAATAGAAAATCTGTGGTCGGACTTAAAGATTGCTGTTCACAAGCGCAAACCCTTCAACTTGAAGCAGCTGGAGCAGTTTTGCAAGGAGGAATGGGCAAAAATTCCAGTGGTAAGATGTGGCAAGCTCATACAGACTTATCCAAAGCGACTTGGAGCTGTGATTGCCGCAAAAGGTGGCTCTACAAAGTATTGACTTTAGGGGGGTAAAATATTATGCACATTGACTTTTTCTGTTATTTTGTCCTATTTATTGTTTGCTTCACAATAAAAAAAAAACAAAAAAAAAACAAAGTTGTGGGCATGTTCTGTAAATTAAATGATGCAAATCCTCAAGCAATCCATGTTAATTCCAGGTTGTGAGGCAACAAAACACGAAAAATGCCAAGGGGGGTGAATACTTTTGCAAGGCACTGTAATTGTAACCAGACAACTGGAAGTACAGGAACAGAGAGGTGGAGGGCCCTGCTCAATGAGCATTCTAGAGAGTGTGGGGTGACACAAAGGGTAAAAGTAGGGGTACTAAGTAGGTTGTTAGAAAAGTATTCATTGAGGGCTGAGTAGGTAATTTTTGACAGCTGCAGGAGAGGAGTCATGGGGGTGGGGGATAAAAACCTGCTAACAGTTTAATTGATATGCTTTCTT